GTGTTTGAGACAGTCTCACTCTGTCTCCAGGCTGGAGTGCAGTGCTGCGATCTCCACTCACTACAACCTCCGCCTCCCAGGTTCAAGCGATTCTTCTCTCTCAGCCTCCCAAGTAGCTGGGACTACCGGTGCGTACCACCATGCCCAGCTCATTTTTGTATTTTTAGTAGAGACAGGGTTTCACCACATTGGCCACGATGATCTTGATCCCTTGACCTTGTGATAAACCCGTCTCTGCCTCCCAAAATGCTAGGATTACAGGCGTGAGCGTCCACACCTGGCTGTTTCTGTTTTTTTAGAGACAGGGTCTCACTCTGTTGCCTAGGCTGGAGTACATTGGAGCAATCATAGCTCACTGCAGCCTTGAACTCCTAGGTTCTTCAAGCTATCCTCCCACCTCGGCCTTCCAAACTGCTGGAATTTATAGGCATTAGCCCATGCCAGCCTCTAGCCCATAAGTTTTAATTGGATTCCAGACATTGAGTTTTATGTTTTTAGTGTCTGGATTTTGTTGTTGTTGTTGTTTTAGGAGTGTAGGGCTTTATAGCTGTTCTGTTTTAGCAGTGTAAGGCTTGTTTTTAAGCTTCATTAGTAGCCTTTTCTGGGAATAGTTTAATCCCACTACTAAGCCATAGCCCTTTTGGGGTCTCTGCTATGCCCTGAGTAATCAAGGAAACATCTCTATTCCGATTTGTCTAAAGCCTCTCAGCCCTGTTTGAGCTCTGGAAACTGTTGAGCTTACATACAGCTTCTCAGTTGCCCTTTGTGTGACTCAAGGAGCTTCGCCCAGCATGTATGCATCCTTAGTCTTCAGCAGATTTAGGGAATCCCAAACAGATTTTCTAGGTTTTTTTTCCTGCGTATTTCTCTCCTTGCCGGAATGCTGTCTCACTGTTTACAGTCACCTCAGTCTCACTGAACACTCTAGTCTCTCCACCACTAGTGAGATTTCTGTGGTGTTTGGGACCCTTCTTCTGCTATAGAATGTGTCTCTGGGATCGAGACCATCCTGGTCAACATGGTGAAACCCCGTCTCTACTAAAGATACAAAAAATTAGCTGAGCATGGTGGCGCGTGCCTGTAATCCCAGCTACTCAGGAGGCTGAGGCAGGAGAATTGCCTGAACCCAGGAGGTGGAGGTTGCAGTGAGCCATTGCACTCCAGCCTGGGTAACAAGAGCGAAACTTCGTCTCAAAAAAAAAGAAAAAAAGAATGTGTCTCTGGGCAGAGGGCCAAGGGGATAAATCGAGCTCACTTCATTTGTTTCCCTCTCTTGGAGAATCACAGTTCTGCATTGCTATTGTCCAATAACTGAAACAGTTTGCAGCAGCAGGGGAAATCCCATCCCTGGTTATTTCATCATGGCTGGAAGTGGAAGTGATAACTATATTAATATCCAACAAAATTAAAAGGGCAACAAAGAGCATTGTTAAGGAATAATTTGACTCACTTTATAACAAACTGTTCTATTTACAGTCAAGATACAACAGTTTGTATGCTTCTAATGAAGTAGTATTAAAATTCATAAAGCAAAATTAAATACGGGGTAAATTGGCTACATTCACTATCAATTAGTGAAGCGATAGAGTTGAACAACATGATGAGTGTGGTGGCTCAAGCCTATAATCCCAGTAATTTGGGAGGCTGGGGCAGGGGGATCACTTGAGAACAGGAGTTCAAGACCAGCCTGACCAACATGAAGAAACCTCATCTCTACTAAAAACACAAAAATTAGCCAGGCATGGTGGCACATGCCTGTAATCCCAGCTACTTGGGAGACTGAGGCAAGAGAATTCTTAAACCTGGGAGGTGGAGGTTGCAGTGAGCCAAGATCACACCATTGCACTCCAGCCTGGGCAATAAGAGCAAAACTCCATCTCAAAAAAAAAAAAAAAAGTCAAGTCTCTGGTGAAGTTTCTCAAGAACCAAAGAGAGCACAAATAAGACAATATTAAAGAAAGTACACAGCCAAGGGTAACTAAATTGATTTAAAAGAACATAAACAGGCCAGGCACAGTGGCTCATGCCTATCCGAGCACTTTGAGAGACCAAGGCAGGTGGGTCATCTGAGGTCAGGAGTTCCAGATCAGCCTGGCCAACATAGCAAAACCCCATCTCTACTAAAAATACAAAAACTAGCGGGGCATGATGGCACATACCTGTAATCCCATCCACTTAGAAGACTGAGACACAAGAATTACTTGAGCCTGGGAGGTGGAGATGGCAGTGAGCTTGGGCAACAGAGCAAGACTCTGTCTCTGAATGAATGAATGAATGAATGAATGTGCTAGCACCTTTGAAACAAGAGTCAGCTTCCTATAATAACATAATTTACTAAAACTATAACTCAAACAGGAATGCTGAGGTGGGAAGATCACCTAAGTCCAGGAGTTGGTGGCTTTAGTGATGGTGCCGCTGCACTCCAGCCTGGAAGGGAGCCTGAAACTAGATTTGGGCATATAGGGAGATCTGCTTGATTACAAGAGTGGCATAGTAGAAAAGGAAAGGCTGTTCAATAAATCAAGCCAGGACAATTGATTATCCACGTAGAAAAAAATGAAATTGCTAGGTGCAGTGGCTTATGCCTGTAATCCCAGCACTTTGGGAGGCCAAGAGATGGAGACCATTCTGGCTAACACAGTGAAACCCTGTCTCTACTAAAAATACAAAACATTAGCTAGGCATGGTGGAACACAGCTGTAGTTCCAGCTACAATGAAATGGAATCCCTTTCTCATATGTATACATAATTAAATTTCAGGTAGATAGAACACTTGCATGTAAGAGGCTAACTGTAAAAGTTCTAAAAGACATGAGAGGCTATTTTTCTGCGTAGGAGTGTGGAAGGATTTATTAAAACACGCATGGAAAAAGAGTTTGCGTTGACATTAAGAACTTCTTACCGAGTTTGAGACCATGGCAAGCCCAGGGAAAAACAGTTACGGAATTCGAGTTCAAGACCAGCCTGGGCCACATGGTGGAACACTGTCTCCACAGAAAAATGCAAAAGTCAACCAGGCCTATATAATCCTAGCACTTTAGGGGCCGAGGCTGGTGGATCACTTTGACCTCACTTCAACACCAGTACTGGCAATATGGCGAAACTAAAATTTTTGTTTACTAAAAATACAAAAATCAGCTGGACAAGGTGGCACATACCTGTAATTCCAGCTACCTAGGAGGCTAAGACAAAAAGAAAAAAAGTCCTTGATCAGGAACTTTATAAAGAGGTAAAAATTTTAAAAAGTGAAAAGCCTCAAACTCCTGTGTTTGTAACACAAATAACCAAGTGACTAACAATACCCATAATCTAAAGAACTATAAATCAAGAAGAGGACAGATAATTCAATAGAAAAATATTCAAAATTTGGTCAGGTGCAGTGGCACATGCCTATAATCCCGGCACTTTGGGAAGCTGAGTCAGGTGGATCACCTGAGGTTAGATGTTCAAGATCAGCCTGGTCAACATGGTGAAACCCTATCTCTACTAAAAGTATAAAAATTAGATGGGCATGGTGACACGCACCTGCAGTCCCAGTCCCCGCTACTCGGGAGGCTGAGGCAGGAGAATCGTTTGAACCCTAGAGGCAGAGGTTGCAGTGAGCCGAGATTGTGCCATTGCACTCCAGCCTGAGTGACAAAAGCAAAACTCTTGTCTCCAAAAAAAAAGGGCAAAAATATTTAAAAGTATAGAAACAAACATTTTTCACAGAAGGGGAAACATGGCTAATAACATGAAATCTAACCTCATTAGTCATCTGGGATATACAAATAAACATCTCTGAAATACTTTCTGACACCCAGTAGATTGTCAAAAGTAATGATTCAATATATGTAAGTGGCAGTACATTGGAAAACAACTTTGGCATTAGTTGGTCAAGTTAACATTTATTTACTTATAACTGAGCAATTCATGGCTCAGAACCTCAGCTCTCGACTCGGCACTGTTGCTTACGCCTATAATCCCAGCACTTTGGGTAACCAAGATGATCACCTGAGGTCAGGAGTTTGAGACCAGCCTGATCCAGCATGGTGTGACCCCCATCTTTACTAAAAATACAAAAGATTAGCCAGGCATGGTGGCATATGCCTGTAATTCCATCCAGCTACTTGGGAGGCTAAGACAAGAGAATCACTTGAACCCTGGAGGTGGAGGTTGCTGTGAGCTGAAATTGTGCCACTGCGCGCCAGCCTGGGCAACAGAACAAGACCCTGTCTAAAAAAAAAAAAAAAAAAAAAAAAAGAACAGTAGGCTGGGCATGGTAATCACATGTAATCACAGCAAGCACCCCTGTAATCACAGCACTTTGGGAGGCTGAGGTGACAGGATCATGAGGTCAGGAGATTGAGACCGTCCTGGCCATGGTGAAACCCCGTCTCTACTAAAATACAAAAAATTAGCCAGGCGTGGTGGCACATGCCTGTAATTCCAGCTACTCAGGAGGCTGCAGCAGGGGAATTGGTTAAACCCAGGAGATGGAGGTTGCAGTGAGCCAAAATCATACTACTTCACTCCAGCCTGGGCCACAGAGCAAGACTCTCTCTCAAAAAAACAAAAAACAAACAAACAAAAAACAGCAGTTCTCAAAGTGTGGTCGGCAGACCCCTGGGATTTCAGATGAGAGCCATTGTCCCTGGTGTGTTCCTGTTTTAAAGATTAAATTCTGAAACAGTGTAATTTAAAGGAGGTTGTCCAAGGTTGCACAGCTAACAAGTAGAAGGGTCAGGATTTGAACCCAGACAATCTTGCTCTAGAGCCCATACTTTTAACTACTAAGCTTATGCCAGTTGCTATAATACCACCTATTTATCAAGCTTATTGTAGTTAAAGGAGACTAGGGGTAGGGGGCAGGTAGAGATGTCAGGTGCTTTTTAGAGCTCTCAGAGAGCTGTAGTCCCCCTGGAGTAGGGGAGAGTGAAGGGTGGGTAGGGACAGAAATCTGGTGAAAAGGAAATGCTGTCCTTTTAAGAGTTTTGGGCATTGTGTATCTTTTCTTCTAGAGACCATGGCGAGCCCAGGGAAAGACAATTATCGAATGAAGAGCTATAAGAACAATGCTCTAAACCCTGAAGAAATGAGACGAAGAAGAGAGGAAGAGGGCATTCAGCTCCGGAAGCAGAAGCGTGAGCAACAAGTGGGTTAACGGGAGTATTCTCAAACATACTATTCTGGGAAACAATCCAGCCCCTATGGTTGGCCTCCACCTTGCACCCTGACTTTCTCTGTAGAAAGGTAGCTTACTTACTGAGTTTGCCACTTACCCAATTTCCTTTGTTGTAAATAAGTGTTTGGAACTTTGAGAAGGGGAAAACTGACCTTATCCGCTTTTCACAAGTTAGACCAACTTAGACATTATTTATTTATGTCTTTACTATAGCATTCTGGTTCTAGCTCCTTTTCTTTTCTTCATGCTGTAGTCATTGTTAGGCCTGCCTTTCAAGGCCCAGCTCCCACCTGGCCCTTTAAGAGGCTCATCAGCTATTCTGAGCCACCTTACTTCTGTTTCTTGAGTCTCTTTTTTATAAGTATCCCTGTGACTGAGACTATATTAATGCCCCACCATCTGCATTCCCTCCACCAGATTCAGTCATCTGATTATTATCATTTTTTTTAAGTCAAGGTCTCACTCTGTCTCCCAGGCTGGAGTACAGTGGGTGACATGATCTCAGCTTGATGCAGCCTTACCTCCTGGGCTCAAGTGATTCTTCCACCTCAGCCTCCTGAGTAGTGGGGAGTACAGGCATGCACCACCACACCTGGCTGATTTTTGTGGGGTTATTTTTTTGTTCAGACACGGTTTTGCCATGTTGCCCAGGCTGGTCTTAAACTCCTGATCCACCTGCCCTGACCTCCCAAAGTGCTGGGATTATAGGAATGCACCACCATGCCTGGCCAACATAACCTGGTTTTGCCCACTGTTTTGCCCACCTGCCCTCCCTTCCTTCCTGCCTTTTTTTTTTTGAAGCACAATCTTGCCCTGTTGCCCAGGCTGGAGTACAGTATCGTGATCTTGACCCACTGCTGCCTCTGCCTCCAAGTCCTTGAATATCTTTCCATGTCAGTATTCAGTAGTCTCCTCTGTGTGAAATACATTCCAGGACTCCCAGTGAATACCTGAAACTGCATAAACTGAACCTTACAATTACTATGTTTTTTTCCCATATTTTTGTCTTTTTACTGGATTTGTTCTTTGTTTTCTTTGGTTCAGAGAATACTCTTAACCACTGTCTCTTTACTTTTCAGCTTTTTAAACGGAGAAATGTGGAGTTGATTAATGAAGAAGCTGCCATGTTCGATAGTCTTCTCATGGACTCCTATGTGAGCTCTACCACTGGGGTAAGGCCCCTGCATGTGCATCAGGCTGGTCTGGACAGTACCTGCTTCTAAGAACAGAAATTGGGCTGTTCACATCATTTACTAGCTTTACCGGTAACCATGACAAGTTCTTTCCTCTGTGGACCCTTTGTCAGCTTAAGGAGTCAACAAGGATTCAAGTCTGATAGAAATATTGAGGAAACATTTAAGGGAAGCCATCAGTTGCCTCAGAAATTAGGCATCACTTTTCAAATGTCCCAACTTGAAGCACCCACAGATTAAACAGACCCCTTCTCCTCAGCCTGTCTATTATGCCTTCTTCTTATCCTCAGTTTTTAGAAAATAGGATGCCAGGTGGTATTACGTGCTCACATCTGGCTCTAATGTTGGTTTGCAAAGTCCTAAACTTGTTTTACATATTCTAGGAGAGTGTGATCACAAGAGAGATGGTGGAGATGCTCTTTTCTGATGATTCTGACCTGCAGCTAGCAACCACACAGAAATTCCGGAAACTGCTCTCCAAAGGTACAAAGCCTGGTCTTTCTCAGGCCCTATATGATTTGGCCTCTTGTTTCTCTGCACTGATGCCATCAGTTACACCTGCCCTCACTCATTCTACTCTAGCCCTACTGACCTTGGTGTTCCTTGTATAAGACAGGCATATTCCTACCTTCACACTGGATATTCCCTCTGCCTGATGTCCTCTATTCCCAGATATCTGTGTAGCAACCACCTTACTCCTATGATCAAATCCTGCCTTCACCATTTTTATCTCTTTACCTTGCCCTACATATTCTCCGCCCCTCCTCTCATATTTATCTTCTAAAATAATAAAATGATGCTTCCCACTAGGATATAAGCTCTCTGAGGGCAGAGACTTTCAGTTTTGTTCCTTCCTATATCCTCAGTACCTAGGACTGTGTAGCACACAATAGATACTCAATAAAAATCTAATGTATGATAGGAAAAATACCTCTTGTTTCAATGTATCAAACAGTCTTCCCAAGAAGAGAATACTCATCTTTCTCAAAAGAGAAATGTGTAGACCAGGGTTGTTCATCCCTTAGGCATTCTACTCTCCCACACCTTCCTTTGCTTGCATTTAGTAAGCCAAAGATGAGCATACTTAAATTAGGATTGGCTTTATTTTTTAACATTCCAACTGTACTATACAGTTGAAAGATGAGCAGAAATTGTTAAATACCACCTTATCAGAAAGGAGTTTGGGAATGTTTATAAGGGTCGTCAGAAGTATCTAAGAAGGATTGTAAGCTGACCTCCATGAAGGGATCAGCAAAAGCTTCTGCCGTTTAATTTTCCCTTCTCCCTTATCCAGAGCCTAGTCCTCCAATAGATGAAGTTATCAACACTCCAAGAGTGGTGGATCGATTTGTGGAGTTTCTGAAGAGGAATGAGAATTGTACATTACAGGTGAGGCCTGAAGGGAAGGGGTTTGTTTTGTCTTGTTTTGTTTTTTAATCTTGGGGACATACATAGTAAGTATATATATTTATGCGGAGTGTGAGATGTTTTGACATAGGCATTCAATTTGAAATAAGCAAATCATGGAGAATGGGGTATCCATTTCCTCAAGCATTTATCCTTTAAGTTACAAACAATCCAGTTATACACTTTATTTTAAATTATACAATTATTACTGACTATAGTCACCCTATTGTGTTATCAGATAGTAGATCTTATTATTAATTTTTTTGTACCCATTAATTATCCCCACCCCACCCCCAGCCTCCCACTACTGGGAAGGGGTTATTAGATGAAAGTCCTCCTTGCAAAAAATTGCAATGGGATATTTCTATTGACATATCTCTCAGGAAGTACACAAGTAATATTAGGAAACATTCAGGAGAAACCATCAATGCCCTCACAGCCAGAATCTCTTCCTTACAACAATTTCAAGGGAAAGACACCAGACTATGATAGACTGATCATTCAGTTATAAATCAGAGGGTATAGTCCACTACCTGTGTGACCTGAGGCAAATAGTTTAGCATCTCTGGGTCTCTTGTTTCAGAGATGGGTGATGGGTCAGTCCGTTGGAACTTGCCAGAAACTCAGCTGAAAGGGACTCTAAGAGACCGATTTCATTCTAATCATCATTTCAGAAATGAAGAAAGCGAAACTCAAGAAATAAAAAAGTGACTGGGCAAAGGATGCATGGGTGCTGTGGTAGTGCAAGACTCAACCTGGGACTGTGGAAGCCCAATGTCTTACTCCCATTTATATCATATCACTGCATCTTCCCACTATCTAAAGAGGGGAGGGGAAAGGCTTATTGTGTGTGCGTGTGTGTGTGTGTGTGTGTTGTGTAAATTCATGGACAAGAGGCTTGCTTGTGTTTTGTGGAGTTGTTTTTGTTTTTTAAATTCATGGGCAGGAGGCTGACTGTTCTGAGCCAGCTGATAGGCATGGCTGCTCAGTATGAAATGACCTTTCAATCACTGCTTAATCTCACTTTCAGTTCGAAGCTGCCTGGGCTCTAACGAATATTGCCTCTGGAACCTCTCAGCAGACCAAAATTGTCATTGAAGCAGGGGCTGTCCCCATTTTTATAGAGCTGCTTAACTCAGACTTTGAGGATGTTCAGGAACAGGTAATGCTTAGATTTGATATAATTCTTTATAGGTACCTGTGGTTTAATAATGTATTTGGTCTTTATCCTGATTCTTGGCACAGTGTTAAAACCCTTAGAATTTCCTGAGTGATAGGAAGTATGTATCAAGTACACCAAGTGTATCAAGTACAGATGGCCTCTGGGACTTGCAACTGGTGTCTCAAGGTGGGGCAGTCTTGTGGGACTGACCTGTGGGCTCTTCACCTGTGGGGTCTGCACTAATTCCACGTGTTAGTGTCAGAATTGAATTAAATTGTTGGACACATGGTTGGTGTCAGAGAATGGGTTGTTGATGTGGAAAAAACTATATACATTTGTTGTTGGAAGTGCCATTGGAAAAAAGACACCACAGTACCCACATCTCAGTACCCACAGATCATGGAGATAAAGATACAATTTTGTTTCTCCCATTGAATTCTTGCTAGTTGAATAGAATTGGAGAGTGCTAGTGGGCTCTTTCCTCCATTACTACATATAGAGTTGGTCCAAAACAGCTACAAGAATGCAACTTTCTGATTACTTTCTTCTTTTCTGGGCAATGTTGGTTTGGCTTCTCTAGCTACAGTACAGATGGCAGCCTGTCTTTACCTGCTGAACCAGGAACTCTTAGGGGATAGGTCCTTGTAGAGCACGTGCTCAGTAAGGATTTCAACAGGGAGGTTACCTGAGTTTGTATAGTGTATTTGGGACCTTGACATCATCCTCATCCTGGTGGGTACTCACTTTGGTGTTGTGGCTATAACATACTTATAGAAGTACCAGGCTTTGTAGGTGACAGTTTCATTATTCCCTTTTCAGGCAGTCTGGGCACTGGGAAACATAGCTGGAGATAGCTCTGTTTGCCGAGATTACGTCTTGAACTGTTCCATCCTTAATCCTTTGTTAACGTGAGTAAATTAAAATCTTCTGCACCTGGATGTGTATAGGGTGGCCATGTTGCAGATTATTTGGGGGCAGCATACTTGATCCCTTAAGATGATAGGTAAATGCAAAAACTATAAAAATGCATTCTGATGGCCAAAATAAAAGATGGGTATCTTTGGAAATTGAGAAGGTTGTGGCCAGGCATGGTGGCTTATGCCTGTAATCCCAGCACTTTAGTAGGCTGGAGCAGGTGGATCTCTTGAGCTCAGGAGTTCAAAACCAGCCTGGGCAACATGGTGAAACCCCAGCTCAACAAAAAATACAAAAATTAGCCAGGTGTGGTGGCATGCACCTGTAGTCCCAGCTACTTGGGAGACTGAGGCAGGGACGATCACCTGAGCCCCAGGGAGCTGTGATCATACCACTGCACTTCAGCCTGGGCAGCAATGTGAAAAAAAAATTGTGCCACCAGTCTGCCAAGAAGGATCTTGTTCCTCACTTCATGGCACGGTAGAACCTCATGTTAGTCATATCCTCCTCATTGTTGAGCCAGGAGAGAGAGGCAGGACTAGCCAATCTGGAAAAATCCAACCTTCTCTACAAAATGCATTGATTTGCAATGGGATTATACATACATACATTGGACAGCTCTGTAGTAAATTATAGATCAAAGACCCCATGAAGTGTCATTGTATCCCTCTTTTCATCCTTCCCTCCATGCCCTCAGGGTAAGCTACATCTAAACCAAAACAAATGAATGAACTGTTCTTCAGAGACCAGAGTCTCATAGCCTACCACTATCACTTTCTTGGATCCTTCATAGAAAATCATTCCATACTGTGTGGCTAAAGCTTTCACAGTAGACCTATAGCTTTTGTTTCTTACACTTTTAGCTTTTATTTCTAGGGAATACCATTTGTTGTCCTGGACTTGTGGCCACGGTTATGGGCACGATATATCCTACCTTAGCTTTATAGGCTTACTCAAGATCTAGCCCTCTGTTTTGTCCCTATTATCTATTGTATTAACTAGCCACAGCTGGCCCTGCAATGAATACTCTATACAGAGATTGGCTTCCTAACCTATACCAACTCTATTAATTTAGGTCTGTGAGTAGGAAGAAACAGGCTGCTAGAGTCTGAGAGGTCTGATTAGAGTCCCTGGGGTTCATTGGCAACAGCCCTATGCCAAGCCCTCAGTACTCAGGATCTGACTTTGCTGTTTCCTTCAGACTCCTTACCAAGTCCACACGACTGACAATGACACGGAATGCAGTCTGGGCCCTGTCAAATCTCTGCCGAGGGAAGAACCCACCCCCAGAGTTTGCAAAGGTGAGAGAACTACTTACTAGACCCTGAGTAACATCAGGTTTCTTCATATGGTATTTTTAAGTCTAACTTTTCACTTTACTATCCAGGCATACAAGATCATCTACTTCACAGGCACACAAGATCTTGTGTGCCTGGATAGTAAAGTGAAAAGGTAGACCTAATGTTGAATGTAGTAGTGATCCCTAGGGTCTGGAATTACTTGTGTGTGGGAATGGCGGGGTAGCAATGTTAGTGTTCATGATAGAGCTGATGTAGTCTTGTCTCCCGTTGAGTCTTTCTCACTCTGCTTCCCACAGGTCTCTCCTTGTTTGCCTGTACTGTCTCGCCTACTCTTCAGCAGCGACTCAGACTTGCTGGCAGATGCTTGCTGGGCTCTTTCTTATCTATCTGATGGCCCTAATGAGAAGATTCAGGCAGTCATAGACTCTGGAGTCTGCCGGAGATTGGTAGAACTGCTGATGTGAGTGGTCTTAGAAAGGATACAGGTTCCAGCTGGGCGTGGTGGCTCACGCCTGTAATCCCAGCACTTTGGGAGGCCAAGGCGGGTGGATCATGAGGTCAGGAATTCGAGACCAGCCTGGACAACATGGTGAAACCCTGTCTTCACTAAAAATACAAGAAATAGCTGGGCGTGGTGATGTTTGCCTGTAATCTAAGCTACTCGGGAGGCTGAAGCAGAGGAATTGTTTGAACCTGGGAGGCGGAGGTTGCAGTGAGATGAGATCACGCCATTGCACTCCAGCCTGGGTGACAGGGTGAGACTGTCTCAAAATAAAAAGAAAAAGGGTACAGGTTCCTTAAGCTTCTCCAGGCTCAGACTAAAGAAATAAAGTCAGCCGGGCCAAAAATAGTGTGCTGGCCCCCTGCTGATCAGATCTCCCTTTTCTGTAGGCACAATGATTACAAAGTGGCTTCTCCTGCCCTGAGAGCCGTGGGTAACATCGTCACTGGGGATGACATCCAGACCCAGGTAAGAAAGAGGAGAGTACAGGATCATAGACCAGCTATGGAAGAGCTTGTGGAAAGCTGCTTGTGGACAAGCCTTTCCTGCAAAGGCTGTGGTCCTGATGGGAGGCGCTGTGGTCTAAGAAAGAAAATGTAGGCTTGAGTGAAAAGTTCCAGCTCTGTCACTTTCTAAGCAGACATGGGAAACTTGATTTTTTTCGTTTCTTCAATAAATTGGTAACAAATCATCATCTAATGGGTGAAGCAAAACTAAATGGATTAACTGGACTTACCACCTGGGACATTGCGAGGTAGTTAAGTTTGAGTCATGGTCCCTTTGAGACACTGGAAAGCTATGGAACTCCACCCCTGCTTCCTAGATCTTTAGGATCTCATGGATATCATGGATCTTGGATTAATCTTTTGTAAATAACCCCTTCGGTAAGGACATAATAAACAAGGTTCCCCTGCTCAAAGGCTAGAGATTTGGGTATTCTTTGGGTTTTGAGTAGCTGATATAATTCTGTGGGATTCTGGACAAGTTTCTTACAGGTGAGTAGTCTCACTCAAACACTCAAACCCACATACTCATTTTCTGGGTTATTTTGTATATGTATATGCATATCCTTTAAAACACAACATAAAATTTACCATTTTAACCCTTTCATTGACATTAAGTACATTCAAATTGTTTTTCTGTCACCACTAGCCAGCTACAGAATTTTTTTATCATCTAAAACTGAAACTATACACATTAAACAGTAACTCCCCATTTTCCCTTCCCCTCAGTGCCTAGTAACCACCATTCTATTTTCTGTCTCTGTGAGTTTGACTGCTCTAAGTACCTCATGTAAGTGGAATCATACAGTATTCTTTCTCATCTGGTTTATTTCATTTAGCCTAGTATCTAAGATTTGTCCATGTTGTAGTATATATCAGAATTTCTGTCTGATATTCCACTGTATGTATATACCATATATCCATTCATCTGTTGAGACATTTGGGTTGTTTCCATTTTTTTGGCTATTGTGAATAATGCTTCTATGAACATTGGTGTACAAATATTTCTTCAAGTCCCTGCTTTCAGTCCTTTTGGGTATATACCCATAGTGGAATTACTGGATCATGTTCTAATTTTATGCTTAATTTTTTTGAGGGGCCACCATACTGTTTTGTACAGCTACTTTGCCTTCTTACATTCCCAACAATGTATCATGTTCTGATTTATCCACAGCCTTGCCAACAGTTATTTTCTGTTTTTTGTTTTTGTTTTTGTTTTTTGTTAGTAACAGCCACCCTAATGAGTGTGAAGTGATATTTCATTGTGGTTTTGATTTGCATTTCCCTAATGATTAGTAATGTTGAGCATCTTTTCATATGTTTATTGGCCGTGTGTGTGTGTGTGTGTGGTTTTTTTTTTTTTGACACGTCTATTCGAGTTCTTTGCTCATGATTTAATTGGGCTGTTGAGTTTTTTTGGTTGTTCAGTTGTAGGGGTTCTTTATATGCTCTGGATATTAATCTCTTATCAGATACATGTTATGCAAATATTTTCTCTTGTTCTGTGGTTTTATCTTTTAATGTTGGGGTCTTTTTTTAAAAAACAACTTTTAATTTTTATTTAATTTTTTATTGAGACAGTCTCTCTTTGTCACCCAGGCTAGAGTGCAATGATGCCATCTCCGCTCACTGTAACCTCTACCTCCTGAGCTCAAAGCAGTCCTTCCACCTCAGCCTCCCAAGTAGCTGGGATTATAGGCATGCACCACCATACCCGGCTAATTTTTTGAATTTGTTTTTCTTTGGAAAGACAGGATTTTACCATGTTGCCCAGGCTGGTCTTCAACTGCTGTTCTCAAGCAATCCTCCCGTCTTGGCCTCTCAAAGTGCTGGGATTACAAGGGTGAAGCCACCTCGCCCAGACCAACTTTCTTTTCTTTTTTAATTTTTTGTAATAGGGTCTCTCTATGTTGTCCTAGCTGGCCTTGAACTCCCGTGCTGAGGTGATCCTACTGCCTCAGCCTCCTGAGTAACTGGGACTACAGGTACATACCACTGTGCCCAGCTTTCTCCGATGTCTTGATGCACAAAAGTTTTTCATTTCGATTAAGTCCAATTTACCTGGGCAAGGTGGGGTGGCTCATGCCTATAATCCCAGCACTTTGGGAGGCTGAGACAGGAGAATCACTTCAGCTGGAGTTTGAGACCAGCCCTACAACATGCCAAGACCCTGTCTCCACAATTTTTTTTTAATTAACGGTACAGTGGCACATGCCTGTAGTCCCCAGCTACTCAGGTCACTGAGGCAGGAGGATTGCTTGAGCCTGGGAGGTCAAGGCTGCAGTAAGCCATGATCGTGCCATTGCACTGCAGCCTATGCAACAGAGTAAGACCCTGTTTCAAGAAAAAAAAAATTAGCCGGTTGTGGTGGTGGGCACCTGTAATCCCAGCTACTTGGCAAACTGAGGCTGAAGAATCACTTGAGCCCAGGAGGTGGAAGTTGCAGTGAGCCAAGATGGTGCCACTGCACTCCAGCCTAGGCATCAGAGAGAGACTCCATCTAAAAAAAAAAAAGAAAAAACATTTTTAAAAGTTAAAAACAGTTTATCTAATTTCTTTTGTTTCCTTTGCATTTGTGTTCTAGGTCATTCTTAACTGTTCAGCCCTACCTTGCCTTCTCCACTTGTTGAGCAGTCCCAAGGAGTCAATCCGGAAGGAAGCTTGCTGGACTATTTCAAATATTACTGCTGGCAACAGGGCTCAAATACAGGTAAAACAGGCAGGGAAGTCAAGGGGCATGGGAACTCCTACGAACATGGGAGGTTGTAGAATATTTGCTTTTAGAAGAAAGAATTTGTTTCCCTTTAGAAATTAGCGTCAATGTGTGCTATTGGTCAAAGAAGCTGTGTAACCAAAACTGGCTTTTTCTGTAGCCTGTCACCTGTATAGGAAGAACAAAAGAAAACTCCCAGGATGGGGAAGATGTCTAAGTCTTAGCTGATTTAGGGACTAGATTTATTTATCTTCCTGAAATGACTTTCTCCTTCCGTCTACTTCCCCTCAATTTTCTCAGGCTGTTATAGATGCAAATATCTTTCCTGTGTTGATCGAAATTCTTCAGAAAGCAGAGTTTCGTACAAGGAAAGAGGCAGCCTGGGCCATCACCAATGCCACATCAGGTGGAACCCCTGAGCAGATCAGGTATTCTTTTCTCATTGTCTTGAATGATATGGATGCTCTCCCTTATGGTTTGTAAGTCACCATAAACTGCTCTTGCTCAAACAGGTCTGCCGTCTAATCCGGCTATAATAGAATTTTACTGGTAAACTGCTACAGTGTCACTGGAATCTGGAATAGATTCCATGTAGGCCATGTGGGAATCTATTCAGTGACACTGTAGCAGTTTACCAGTTTTCCCTTCTGGAGAAGAGAAACATGACCTCGACATCCATCCTTTCTCTACCTTTTCCTATCCACCAGAGATCTAAAATCTATGTAGTTCTCAGTCATTCCTACAAATCAAGGCTAACCATGCTGTGGCTCACTCAAAACAGTTTCTTCAGCCTGGCCAACATAGAAAGATTCTTATCTCTACAAAAGATATGAAAACTAGCCGGGTGTGGTGGTTTGTGCTGATAGTCCCAGCTGAGGTGGAGGATGACTTGAGCCTTGGAAGATCAAGGCTGCATTCAGCTGTGATTATACCATTGCAGTCCAGCCTGAGTGACAGAGCCAGAGTCTGTCACACACAAATACACGCACAAAAAACAAGCTCACCGATGTGGTGGCTCATGTCTGTTATGCTAGCACCTTGGGAAGCTAAAGCAGAAGGATCCTTTGAGCCCAGCAATTCAAGACTGGCCTGGGCAATATAGGGACATCTCATCTGTACAAAAGTGTAAAAATTAGCAAGGTGTAGTGATGTGTGCTTATGGCCGCAGCTACTCAGTAGGCTGAAGCAGGAGGATCACCTGAGCCCAGAAGGTCACAGCTGTAATGAGCCATGATTGTGCCACTACACTCCAGCCTTGGTGATAGAGCAAGGTCCTGTCTCAAATAAAAAATCAGCTTCTTTGGGAAATTAATTTAGGGTATGAGACTTGAAAGAAGCAAATAGAACGCTGTTTTATATATGTGTACTCTTTTTTTTTTTTTTTTAAGATGGAGTTTTGTTCTTGTTGCCCAAGCTGGAGTGCAGTGGTGCAATCTCAGCTCACTGCAACCTCCGCTTCCTGGGTTCAAGTGATTCTCCTGCCTCAGCTTCCTGAGTAGCTGGGATTACAGGCATCCACCACCACACCCGGCTAATTTTTTGTATTTTTTAGTAGAAATGGGGTTTTACCATGATAGCCAGGCTGGTCACAAACTCCTGATCTTGAGTGATCCTCCCACCTCAGCCTCCCAAAGTGCTGGGATTACAGGTGTGAGCCACTGAGCCTTACTCTTTTATTTTAGTTTCCATTATCTGAACATTAGTGGAAAGTGGTGGGAATAGATAGGTGTCTTGCCCTTGACTTGTTGCCTATTAAGGGGAGCATAGTCAGTATATATAAAGCGTTAGGGCCGGGCGCGGTGGCTCACGCCTGTAATCCCAGCACTTTGGGAGGCCAAGGCGGGTGGACCACGAGGTCAAGAGATAGAGCAACATGGGTGAAACCCCGTCTCTACTAAAAATACAAAAAATTAGCTGGGCATGGTGGCACGTGCCTGTAATCCCAGCTACTCAGGAGGCTGAGGCAGGAGAATTGCCTGAACCCAGGAGGCAGAGGTTGCAGTGAGCCGAGATCGCGCCATTGCACTCCAGCCTGGGTAACAAGAGCGAAACTCCATCTCAAAAAAAATAAAAATAAAAATAAAAAAAAATAAAGCGTTAGGAGAGAAGAGATAGCTGTTTAGTTAAGCTTTGAAGGATAAATATGGAGTTGTAAAAGGCCTCTTAGGGAAAAGCATAAATAAAGGTACAAGAATCACAAACCTGGAGACCTTTATGAGTGTGACTAGAACGTATTGTCCTTGGAAGGGAATAATGGGAGGCAGACCTGGAAAGGAGCTAGGAGCCAGATAGCAGAGCATCCAGACTGAGCTGGGCTTGTGGTATTATGGTATTGTTGTGCCATATAATTTGGAGTTCAGGGAAAAAGGGAGCCTATGAAAAATTTTAAGCAGGTAAGTGATGTGTTCAGAGTGGTAATATTGCAGCCAAGGAGAAATTAGAGGCAAGGAGGAGGAAGATGTGGTAGCATCTACATGTGAAATGAACTAGACCAATATCAGCAGGAGGATAGAGAAAGGATATGTGGTTATCAAGGCTTAGTAAGAGCAGTGGCTCACACCTGTAATCCCAGCACGTTGGAAGCCCAAGGTGGGAGGATCACTTGAGACCAGGAATTTGAGACCAGCCTGGACAACATAATGAGACCTTGTCTCTACAAAAAATAAAATTAGCTGAGCATGGTGGTACATGCCTGTAGTCCCAGCTGTTTAGGAGGCTGAGGCAGGAGGATCACTTGAGCCCAGGAGTTTGAGGCTGCAGTGAGTTGGGATCGCACTGCACCCCAGCCTGGGTGACAGAACAAGACCCTGTCTCAAAAAAAAAACTTAGTTGGGGAACACTCTCATTCTGTGGCATGGAATGAGGTGCTGCACAATTCTTAAAAAAAAAAAAAAGTGATTAAGAATGGGTTGCTGAGAGTGCAGAGCACCTGCCCAAGCACTTCATTTGTTCTGTATTAGTTTAGAACTTGCCTGGTCTCTGGCCTCTAGGTACCTGGTCTCACTGGGTTGCATCAAACCGCTATGTGACTTGCTGACTGTAATGGATTCGAAGATTGTGCAAGTGGCCCTCAATGGACTGGAGAACATTCTGCGGCTTGGAGAGCAAGAGGGCAAGCGCAGTGGCTCAGGGGTCAATCCCTATTGTGGCCTCATAGAGGAAGCCTATGGTATGTGTCTTCTCCTCAATCTAAGTCAGAACCTGAGACTGTAGGCTTCTAATGTGGTATACATATGTTGGTGGTGGCAGACTGTGAGTTAGGGAGCATCCATAGCTTCCATGTGACTTACATCTGTGTCTCCAAAACAGTTAAGAGCTCTTGCCTTAGCCAAGTTTCACCATCCACAGGGTTTCAGACATTACCATGAGTATAACGGACATGTACTGAGTAGCTCGGGTACAGCTAGGGTTTGGATTTGGCTCATCTTTTGAGTTCAGATTTGTCTCCCACCCATTTCTTCTTCTAAGTAGTGATAAATCAGTTCTTTTTCTGTTAGGCTGTACCTAAGAGTGCTGAATTGACTCATCACCCATCCCTGAGAGGTTGATGATTTGCCCAGGTCATGCAACTAGTTTAAAGTGGAATCAGGACTAGAACCTCTGTAACTGACACTTTGGTCTCTTTCCTTTGGGATTCTGTAGTTTTGAGAAGAGATCTTAACTCTTCTCTTTCAGGTCCAAGAGTGATCTGATCATATGACTTGTGTTTGTAAGTACTAATGTACCTCAGGGAAGGACAAATAGGTAAATGTTTCATCTGCCCATAGAAAAGCACTCACACTTCCCTCTCCTTCCTTCTTACTACTGTAGGCTTGGATAAAATCGAGTTTCTCCAGAGCCACGAGAACCAGGAGATCTACCAGAAGGCCTTTGACCTCATTGAGCACTACTTTGGTGTAGAAGACGATGATAGCAGCCTGGCTCCCCAAGTGGATGAAACGCAACAGCAGTTCATCTTCCAGCAGGCTGAGGCCCCCATGGAGGGCTTCCAGCTATAATATCTGCCTCCGGGGAGGGGAGGGGATGGGAAGCACCACCAGCCAGCGGAAGAGCTGCCCTCTGGTGGGCGGGAAACCAGTCCCCCCACCATCAGCCACCACACACCTCTGCTGCCCTGGAGACTGTGCTCTTGACCTGCTCCGTCCCCTTCCCTGGAGGGAGCACCCTCTGGACGGACAGAACCATCTGAGGCTCACCTTTGGGTTTTGTGACAAGAAGGGGACGTGTTGGGTTTTTCTTCCTTACACTATATTTTGGCTGCACACATGTCTTTAACCCAGGAGCCCAGGGGTAGACAAAGGAGGACTAAGGTAATCAATTTGCACCTTTTTTAATTTTTTTTCTTTTTTTCTTCAGTGGTGACTTCCTTCCCTTTTATTTTTTTTCGATTCTTCCCAGTCCTCTGCCATGATCTGTGTAACTCTTATCTTGGGTACTTGAGCAGACAGTATATTCCAGAGGTGGGAGGTGGGAGGGGAAGGGAGAAATCCGAAACAAAGTGTTCTTGTTCTGACAGAATATTAATCTTGTGCGCTTGGATTGAGTTATTTAATTTTTTTTTTCTTTTGCACATTTTCTTATATTAAGATTGCTCTTCCCAAGAGCCACAAGTTCCTGGTTTTAGTAAACCCAGCTGCCAGCATTGCCTGGGGCTAGATGCCGATGGGGAGGCTACCATGAAACAAAGGTCCCTCCCTCCCTCTGACTTTGCCCAGACCTCTTTAGTTTGGGAGATCCTCCTCACTCTCCTGAAGTGTCTCAGGTACACCAGTGGGAGTGCAGGGGAGAAGCACAGGCCTTCAGATGGGGCTTCCTTCCCATGTGTAGCTACTGATCCCATGTTTCCTACTCACCTTCCAAATGGTGCGACCCAACTTCATTTGTTTACTTGAAAATTCCCCCTTGGGGTTGAGAGAACCTCTGAGGTGGTTGTATTTTCTCCTAAGCTAGAGTCAGGGGGCTGTGGTCCTTCCTTTCTCCTGAGGAGAAGTCCTTGCTCTGGTGACCTGTAAGTTGCAGAGGAGGTTGGAGTGAGAGTGTCATGTTTTGAGATAGTCAGGGATCCCTGCCTTTGGTCTTTCTTCTTCCTCTTCCATAGTTGGATCATGTATATTTTACTTCCAAAGGAGAGAATGTCAAAAAGTTCTGTATTTTTTATATTCTATATATTAGGTAGGTCAATCTTAATTGGTCTCAAGAAGAACTGTCTGTAATTTCTGTAAGTAGGATACTGTGAGGAAGACCAAAAAGAGATACGGATGCTTCCTTGCTCAGGAGGCCTGAGCTTGGTCCTTCTCTCTGCTTGGATTCTGGACCACCACCTGGGACCAACCCTCAGCTCTCGAACCTTCATAAAGCAGGTCAGCATGGCCTGATTGTCCCAGGACCTGAAGGGAGCAAAGATGGCCATAGGGCCTGGTGAAGTCTGCTACTCTGTCCTTACTGCTGATCATCCTGCTTGTATCAGGAAACCCAGAAGCAGTTTGCCTTCTCAAGTTCAATCTCAATGGCCGTTGTCCACATAACTCATCACCCATGGCTCCCTCTCCTATTCTGTTATCACTGAAACTTAGTAGCCTGCTTTTTATATATACATATAATCCAGATGCCTTTTCTTTCTGTTTGAATTACAGTAGTGCATTGCCTCAGTGGCTTGCCTGTGCCTCTGGGTGGATTACATATGATAGTAAAGCCCACCTGTTTGGATGGGAGTAGAGGAATTTGGTGTAGACCAACTGTGGAGTTGAAGGCACAGTCTGCCTCACCCCCACCTCCCCACTGTGGTTAGTCAGAGGCATCCTGCTCTAAGCTCTGCTTTTCCTTTCTCTAAATGCCATTCTTGCTTCTATTGCTACATATCTCCTTCTGGCTCAGGTGAAATCCATCCCCCTCTGCTAATAGACATAAAGTTCAGGTATTTATTGTTGACCATTGGTCTTGAATTCCCCCAGACTCCCCGATTTTTTTATTTTTCCTTTTTTTTTTTTCCCGGTCCCACCTCAAAGTCATTTTCTGAGGAAAATGGTTTAGGGCTAGCAATTGTCCCTGAAAAACCACACCCATGTTGTACCACCTTGGTGAGTCAGATGCCACTCATCAGCTTGGGAATGGTGGCTACCAACCCCCAATCTCCCAGGAAGTCTGGGGGCAGAATCTTTCTTTCACTTGGCCTGCTACCTCCATTACAAAACCATTCTCTTACTGTTCAAAGAAAAGTCCTCACCCACCCAACCTCTACCCATTGTTCTCATCCAAAGGGCACTTTAGTAGGATCTACTTTGTACATCTTAAGTAACAGTTAAGTCCCTGATACTGGGGCCAGATTCTTAGTATAAGACATACACATCCTGTTTGCCCAGCTTTGGCTTCATTTCCGGGTCCTGTACCAGATGGAAAATGTTTTGGTCATCTGGCTGCTCCTTAAAGCCAGTTTCCCCTAAGAATTCCAAAGGCTGGCCGGGCATGGTGGCTTACGCCTATAATCTCAGCACTTTGGGAGGCCGAGGCAGGTGGATTGCGAGGTCAAGAGATCGAGACTATCCTGGTCAACAAGGTGAAACCCCATCTCTACTAAAAATACAAAAATTAGCTGGGCATGGTGGTGCGCGCCTGTAGTCCCAGCTACTTGGGAGGCTGAGGCAGGAGAATTGCTTGAACCCAGAAGGCAGAGGTTGCGGTGAGCCGAGATCGTGCCATTGCACTCCAGTCTGGGTAACAACAGCGAAACTCCGTCTCAAAAAAAAGAAGAAAAGAAAAAAAGAATTGCAAAGGCTAAAGTCTACTGGGGCAGAGCGTGAGGACAGATTTCTCATCAGAGAAAAGTCTTCCTAGGAGCTTTCGTTTGTGTCTTCCCCAGACCAGGTTTTCTCATTATCTTCCTTTAACCACAGGTGAAGTTCTTCCAGCCCACAGAGGCAGTAATATCATCTTTTGTATCTCCTCCTCTACTTCTATGTAATGAAGCAAAGTATTACTTATTTAGCCCAGGCTTGAGAGCCACTGTTGGTGGGCAGTCTCCATCTGGATTCCAGGCCCTGGCCTAAGTGAGGTAAGGCTTTCTGGTTATTGCCAGGATGGATCCCCACCCCCACCCCAGTCTGCTGTAGGGAATACCCTAATTAGCTGAGGCATGCTTTTGGAATCCTGGCATGTTGGCATATGGCTGATCTATCCCTTTTAAGATCTCTGGTTGGAGTATCTAGATACAGATTAGGAGGGACAAGGAGCCCTTTTCTTGGCTTATGTGTTCAAATAAGTTTTTGAAAGGTGCCAGCTCCTCCAGCTATCCCACTCCCAAGTCATCATCTTTAGTACTAACAAGGTCTCTGATCTTAGAAGCCTGCCTCCAGATCCCTAATGACCCTAGTGACCACCTGGCCTTGATGTTAGCTGCAGCCTTCTGACAGAACCACATGAGTTCCACTCACAGCTGGCCAGCCTTGTTACTTGGGTCAGGGAGTAGAAATGATCCCTGCCAGGGAGCAGGTGTTGACCTCATTTTTCAGGGACCCTTGAGTTCCCCCTTATCTAGAGCCCATAGATCTACTCCATCAACTCTTTGCCATGAAAGCCATCTTCTAGGAGCCCTGTTTTTTGGAGCTGAACTATAGAGATTACAGCTGCTATTGTACTTAAGGGAGAGAAAAAGAAGGTTCTCAGGCACAGACTTTCTATTTCTCAAGCCAAACCACTTTAAAATGAAAACTGTCTAGCAGAATGAACTGTATTTCCATATTTCATGTCTACCTGCCTTCCTCCCATACCCTAAAGTTGTACTTGTTTCTAGCAAACTAGAAGGAAAGGATAGGAAAGCCTAGCACTACTAACCTTACCTCTCATACCCTTTCTTTGAAAGCCCCAGTTCAGGCCTCATCTCTTCTCTAGATTGACTCAGCTTGGTATCCATCATCTTGAGCATTCCTCAGTAGATTCATCTAGGGTTTGGATTCTAGACTTTCAGTTGAAGATAGGGAGCCAATTTCCCCAGGTCTCTGCAGGCAATCCAGGGACCCAATAGGGATAGCAGACTGGCTGGGACATTAGGAATGTATGTACCTTTCTGCCTTCTTGGCAGCCAGGGGAAGGGTGCAACGCTCAGTGCACTAAACCGTGGTAAACATCTTCCTGATTGAACTACCCTAGAATTTAGTGAGTGTGACACTGAGATACTGCTCAGAATAAATTTCTTCCATAGCTATTTAGGATTGCACGTTCTAGACCAACCTTATCTAATATGTTTTGTTTTAGCTTTTTCAGTCTTTGTTAAGCCAACAAGTTGAAAATTTGGCCCTACTGGGATCCGTGTAGTGGGCACTAGCTGTTCTTTTGCCAAGGCCTTCATAAATGATTCAGTCTTATTATCTATCCTCTAACCCCACTCTCTGATTTAAGACTGTGGCAAAGGAAGAATTTGAGGCCAAGACCAACCAAATCTGTGAATTAAAACTTATCTTTTTTCTCTGAAAGGGTACTTGGCTTCAGGTATGGGCTACATATAGAACCTAAGCTGACTGTGAGAGTTAGAAGAGGCAGCATTAAATTTTAGGCCCAGAACACCATGGGGAAAGGTTTATGTAGTATGTCTTCAGTGGGCCTGCCTAGCTGCTTCTGGGCCAGCCTGACTTCTGACGTCCACATTGCTCATACCTGAATCCCGCTGCTGAACGCCAGCCCTGTTCTCCTGTAACTATTATATATGCCATGGTCTGGGGGCACTGAAGGAAGTAACCTCTCAGAGATCCTAACATTGGCTGGGAACCTCTGACTCAGAGCATGTCCTTAAAGAGCACATCTGGCCGGGCATGATGGCTCACACCTGTAATCTCAAGCACTTTGGGAGGCCGAGGTGGGTGGATCACGAAGTCAGGAGTTTGAGACCAGCCTGGCTAACATAGTGAAACCCCGTCTCTACTAAAAATACAAAAAGTTAGCAGGGCGTGGTGGCAGGTACCTGTAATCCCAGCTACTTGGGAGGCTGAGGCAGGAGAAGTGCTTGAACCCAGGAGGTGAAGGTTGCAGTGAGCTGAGATCGCACCACTGCACTCCAGCCCAGGCAACAGTGCAAGACTCCATCTCAAAAAAAAAAAAGAGTCCACATCTTTGGCTGGGTGCGGTGGCTCACGTCTGCAATCCTAGCACTTTGGGAGGCTCAGGCGGGTGGATCACTTGAGTTCAAAACCAGCCTGGCCAACACAATGAAACCCTGTCTCTACTAAATATACAAAAACAAAAATTAGCTGGGTGTGGTGGTGGGCACCTGTAATCCTAACTACATGGGAGGCTGAGGCAGGAGAATCCCTTGAACCCGGAGGCAGAGGTTCCAGTGAGCCAAGATTGCGCCACTGCACTCCAGCCTGGGGACAAGGCAAGACTCCATCTCAAAAACAAAAATAAAAAAAGAGCCTACATCTTCACGAATCCTCAGACTCTGCAGTTGGATATTGGCTTTTTAAGCCAACTTTTGTGGTAACTGTCTTTGACTTATTAAAGAAGGAAAGGGGGTATGGAATCCCAACCACTCAAAAGACTGGATATCCCTCAAGAATGACTTGGGTTACCAGCTATGCACCCTTGGAAGATGAATCAAATCCTCACTGGTTTTTCTCTGTAAATTCATTTGCTTTTATTTTTCTAATAACTATCAACTCTATTTTCCATGTTCTCAGGGCCCCTGGGTAGACAGACACAGCTTGATTTCAGAGCAGATGTAGGCCAAGAAACTATGGCATTGAGTGTGCTGAGTCCAGAAAAATATTTATATACACATCCAAATTTGAAGAGAAAATGTATTTCTTTAGGTTTCAAACACTGTAATAGTTATAAAGCAAAAATAAAAACCTGTTGAAAGTTCTAAATTGTCTTCTTTGGCTTGGAGTAACCCTAGACTGGATTTTGGGGAAGAGAATGAGGAGGTGTTTAAACTTGTAGCTTAACAGTGGAAATAAGAGTTGTACCAACCTGCAGCTGGTGTAAAGTTTTTTTTCTTCGGCTTTATTGAAATATAATTGACATGTAAATTGTACATATTTAAAGTACATACACTTTGATAAATTGAAACATATACACACCCATAAAACAACTGCAAGACAGTGAATATATCCATCACCTTCATAAGTCATAAGCTTCCTGCTTGAGGATCCCTCCTTTCTGCCCACCTCCAGCAACAACTGATCTGTGGCTGACACTAGTTTAGTCTGCATTGTCTAGAGTTTCTCTAAATGATTTTGACTTAGTTTCATCAGCACCACTCTCCCTTTTGAACCCTTTTTGAGACAGTTTTTTGCTCTTGGCATTCAGGCTGGAGTGCAGCCACGCCATCTTGGCTCACGGCAACCTCTGCTTCCCAGGTTCAAGCAGTTCTCCTGCCCCAGCCTCCCAAGTAGCTGGGATTACAGGCACATGCCACCACGCCGGGCTAATTTTTGTATTTTTTACATAAATGGGATTTCACCACGTTGGCCAGGCTGGTCTTAAACTCCTAACCTCAGGTGATCCGCCCACCTCAGCCTCCCAAAGTGATGGGATTACAGGCTTGAGCCACCGCACCCAGGCCGAACCTCTTAAGATAAGTAGTTCCCAGACTCCTCCCTTCAGTTTAGATCAATTCCTAAAGCAGATTACAGACAAGCAGCTAAAAAGTTGATGGAACCTACAAGAAGGTTTTGCTTGACAGTGTGTTTAAGTTTGAATTCATTGCCAACATTAAAATCAAGAAATGTCTGTCTCAGAAATGACTGTCCTTTCAATACATCTCAATTTTTTAAAAGAGGCCAAACACCATGCCTCATGCCTGTAATCCCAACCCTATGGGAGGCCAAGGCAAGAAGACTGCTTGACGCCAGGAGTTCAAGACCAGCCTGAGTAGTCCTAGCTACTTGGGAGACTCAGGGCAGGAGGATCACTTGAGTCCAAGTGGTTGAGTGTGCAGTGAGCTAAAGGCATCACTGCACTCCAGCCCCAACAGCTGAGTAAAACCTGTCTAAAAAAGAAAAAAATACTATCTGGCCCTACCCGGCCTGAGTTTCTGCTTGGTAACAATGTGCAAGAGCTGCTGTATTTTACTGCAACCACCACCTCTCTATGAGTCTGGCAAATGCTAATACTGTTGCTGTACATTGTTTATAGCAAAGGAGAAAAAAATTTTTTTTTTTTTTTTTTTTTTTTTAAAGATAGAGTCTCACTGTCGCCCAGGCTGGAGTACAGTGCTGCGATCTCGGCTCACTGCAGCCTCCGCCTCCTGGGTTCCAGCGATTCTCCTGCCTCAGACTCCCGTAGCTGGGAATACAGGTGCACACCACCACACCTGGCTAATTTTTGTATTTTCACTAGAGCTGGGGTTTCACCATGTTGGCCAGGCTGGTCTTGAACTCCTGACCTCAGGTGATCAGCCTCCCAAAGTGGCTGGGATTACAATCCTGAGCCACTGAATCCGGCCAAAAGTGACTACTTAACCCATGTTACTGTCAAATATTCTTGCCTGTTCTCATTACCCAGCTGCCTGCTCTAGGCTATTGTTGACCCTTCTGCTACACCCTCTACCCCCTCACCCCTTGCATACATTTTTCTTATGTTCTTTATCTCACCTGGAACACCCCTTTTATTATTATTATTTTTTGAGACAGAGCTTTGCTCTTGTTGCCCAGGCTGGAGTGCAGTGGCATGGTCTCGGCTAACTGCAACCTCAGCCTCCTGGGTTCAAGTAATTCTCCTGCCTCAGCCTCTGGAGTAGCTGGGATTACAGGCATGTGCCACCATGCCTGGCTAATTTTATATTTTTAGTAAGAGATGGGGTTTCTCCATGTTGGTTGGACTAGTCTCCAACTCCTGATCTCAGGTGATCCGCCTGCCTCAGCCTCCCAAAGTGCTGGGATTACAGATGTGAGCCACTGCACCTGGCCTAGAACACCCTGTTTATATGGAAACCTATCAAGGCCTGATTTATATGGTGCTTCCTCAAGAAATTTCCAGAATGCTTTTCTAGAAATAATAAGGGCCTTGGTTTCAGGACACCTGGATTCTAAACCTTTTTGAGCCTTAGTTCCATCATTATACTAAAGTTGAATATCCCTTATCCAACATACGTCGGACCAGAAGTGTTTCGAATTTGGGATTTTCTCAGATTTTACCGGTTAAGCATCCCTAATCTGAAAATCCAAAATGCACTGCTTTTAAGTCTGTCACTGAGCCTTTGGGGGAAATATTTAATATCCTAACAGCCCTAAACCAATGCTCAATTAGTACAACAATTTACAATCTTCTCTACCCACAGCCTGATGCTAGGCTCTGGGACTAGAATATTTCACCAACAGTTCTTGCAAAATTCACTGACTTGTAAGCAAATATTAATTTCAACACCTCACTGCTAATGCTGTAACAGAACTCTGCAGACCTAGGGAGCAAGTACAGATTGCAGAGCACTGGGAAGGCTCTGCAGTGACCTTTGAACTGGGCCTCAAAAGATTTTAAGTTTGACAAAAGCCAAACCTCTTATGCTTCAAATTCCAGGCACAAAGATTGTTGGGTTTGATTTCATTATCCAGAGGCAACGGGGATACAGAATTTCTGATCTCACGTGTAGAGAATTGTGTTTTTTTTCTACTTTAAACCCAGTGAGACTTTAGTAGACAGTGGGGCAGTCAGAGAAAAGGCTCTAGAATATGCCTGAAGCCTTAACTCAGCACCTTCCTGAGGAATTGACTGCCAAATGGTAAAGGAGAGGGGAAAATATGACCTATGTTCACAAGTTACCTTGACTGCCTCTGGAAAACCTGCTGTGGTGGTGTTTCTTCTGGGTAAAAGACAAGGTAGGCCGGGAGTGGTGGCTCACGCCTATAAACCCAGCACTTTGGGAGGTCAAGGCGGGTGGATCACGAGGTCAAGAGATCGAGACCATCCTGGTCAACATGGTGAAACCCCGTCTCTACTAAAAATACAAAAATTAGCTGGGCATGGTGGGGCGCGCCTGTTGTCCCAGCTACTCGGGAGGCTGAGGCAGGAGAATTGCTTGAACCTAGAAGGCGGAGGTTGCGGTGAACCGAGATCGCGCCATTGCACTCCAGCCTGGGTAACAAGAGTGAAACTCCGTCTCAAAAAAAAAGAAAAAGGGAAGCCGAGAAGTTACCTGGGTGCTGGTGTCAGAGTTAACAATTCTGAATCCGTTTTAACCACTCACTATCGATGTAACCTTGGAGAAGTTACCCAGCCTTTCTCTTTACTGTCCTTTTCCGTAAAATGGCGATAACAGTACTTACTTCAATGAGTGCTTATGAGAATGAAGCTATTAGATACCGGAAAGCACACAGTAAGCGCTCAAGGAAATTATTGTTATTAAACACCTCCTTGGGAAGAAGGACATTAAGGCCCAGGGAGCCACAGCAAATCCATGATGAAGCTGGGACTGGAGTAGGGGTCTCCTGGGCCTCATCCCAGGACTCTATCCCTCTTCCCGATTCGTCGGAATTCCTGGATGGAGTCACATTTGTTCAAGGCCAGGGAAGAAGGCTTGACGGAGGCCTGCAGGAAACAATGCTAGGCGCAAGGCTTTAGGAGCTGAGGCATAACTTCTGCGAGATAGAAACAAGGTTGACCTGGGCATTTGCGCGGAATGACGGGCTCTTTTTGGACTCCCAGAACTACTGCCCCGTCTGCACTTTCGGAGCTGCTGCCAGCCCCAGCGCACAGAGGGACGCGTAGTCCTTTCGCTGCCCCGCCCTCAGGTCCCGCCCGCCTCCAAGGCCGCCCTCGCTTCGTCCTTCCCAGCAAGCTCCGCGCCGGCGCCGGCTATTGATTGGCTGCGGCGGGTGCAGGCTGCTCGCCGGCAGTGGTTACTCGGGGTTTCCGGTGGAGGCCAGAGCTGGAGAAGCCGTCGGACGTCGGTTGTGAGGTGCGTGCCGCGGCGACCGGTGGGAGAGACAATCGGAGGGTGTACGGGCCGGGATGTTCTCGGCCTGTGGGGAAATCACGGCGACTCCGCGCGTGGGCCGGGGGGCTGTCTAGGGCGTGTGCGCATGCGCGGGCGTGCCTCGCGGCTGGAGGGCGCGCGGGGCGTGGGTGGGTCCTGAGGGGCGGGGGCGGCGCCGGGACTCCTGCGCCCCGCCACGTCAGTCTCCGGCCCCGAGCCAATCCCGCTCTCGGCCTGCCGTGAGGGGGTTGGTTGTGCTGGGAAGTGGCTCCGAGAAGAAAAAGAGGCCTCTTTCCTCTTCCGTTGCGCTGCGAAAGCCTGCTACGGCACACCGGGCTCCCCTGACCCGCCAAGACCGGAGAGCCGTTGGCGCCCTCCGCTGGGGCCGGCCGGTCCGTTTAAGAAGCTTTGGGCGCCTGCTGTGGGGATTTCTGATCCAGACTGCGAAGAATTTCGAAGTCTGAAAAATTGCAACTGTGTTTGTTTCTAAAGGATCTCCTTCTGACCCAGCATCGCTCATCACAATGAAGAACCAAGACAAAAAGAACGGGGCTGCCAAACAATCCAACCCAAAAAGCAGCCCGGGACAACCGGAAGCGGTACCCGAGGGAACCCAGGAGCGGCCCAGCCAGGCGGCTCCTGCGGCAGAAGCTGAAGGTCCCGGCAGCGGGCAGGCTCCTCGGAAGCCGGAGGGTGTGTGCCAGCTCTGCATTGCCAGCGGGCAGGGGGAGGAGCTGTGCGCCTGGCCTCACTTCTGGATTTAGAGGCCGAGGCCAGGTTGTGCAGAGGAGGAGATGTAGAATGAGAGGGCAGTGCTGGGGCCGCGGTCCTTCCGGCGCCCTGGCGAGTTGGTGAGCACAGGAACAGAGTTCTCTTCTCTGGAGAGAAGCTCTGACAGGATTAAGTCAGGTGGCAGCCAAACGAGGCACCCAGTCAGGAAATCCAGGTCCTGTTAGAAACACCTCAGCCACCAACAGCTAACTGCCCTTCCTGGATTGAGGCATTTCTAGAACAATCTGAATGGCAAGAAGTGGTTGGTGAGGGGGGAAGGAGATGGACTAGAAGTTGCTTCATGCCAGCCCTGTGTGCTGATGCTTTACATACTTTTATGTTTGTAACCAACATGTTCGGGTGATAGTAAGAAATAGTTGTGTCATTTTACAAGTAAATAGACTTAAAGAGGTTGAGCATCCATTACCTGAGTCTGGCAAGAAAAAAAAAAAAGTTGCCGGGCACAGTGGCTCACACCTGTAATCCTAACACTTTGGGAGGCTGAGACGGGCAGTTCACCTGAGGTCAGGAGCTCAAGACCAGCATGACCTATACGGTGAAACCTCATCTTAAAAAAAAAAAAAGTTAAGCAACGATGACTATAATTTCTTTTAAAAGATGTTTCGAGGCTGGACATGGTGGCTCACGCCTGTAATCCCAGCACTTTGGGAGGCCAAGGCAGGTGAATCACCTGAAGTCAGGAGTTTGAGACCAGCCTGACCTCCATGTTGGAGAAACCCTGTCTCTACTAAAAATACAACAATTAGCTAGGTGTGGTAGTGCATGCCTATAATCTCAGCTACTCGGGAGACTGAGTCAGGAGAATCGCTTGAACCTGGGAGGCAGAGGTTGCAGTGAACTGAGATTGCATCATTGCACTCCAGCCTGGGTGACAGAGTGAGACTCCATCTGGAAAAAAAAAAAAAAAAGTTTTGAATCTAAATTCTGACAGGAACTAGATTTGCTGTCTTCTTTCTCATTCTTTCCTGCTTTAGGGGCACAAGCCAAAACAGCTCAATCTGGGGCCCTCCGTGATGTCTCTGAGGAGCTGAGCCGCCAATTGGAAGACATACTGAGCACATACTGTGTGGACAATAACCAGGGGGGCCCAGGCGAGGATGGGGCACAGGGTGAGCCGGAAGATGCAGAGAAGTCCCGGACCTATGTGGCAAGGAATGGGGAGCCTGAGCCATCTCCAGTAGTCAATGGAGAAAAGGTACCCTCCAAGGGGGAGCCAGGCACAGAAGAGATCCGGCCGAGTGATGATGTGGGAGACCGAGACCACCGAAGGCCACAGGAGAAGAAAAAAGCCAAGGGTTTGGGTGAGCAGAGAGTGGCTCTTTGTGCAGCTGGTGAGGGGAGGGAATTTGGACTTGATGTTCTCTGGGCAAGTCTGTTCTGCCAGGATTCAGAGGAAATGGTACTTCTCAGAGCAGCAAGTCACCCTAGTCTAATCAAAGCCAGGGATGTGGGAGTCACACATAGAAAGATGCAGGGGTTTCCAGCACAAGGTCTTCTGGCTTTTGGAGCAACGGGAGGTTGATGTGTGACCTGCTCTTTGAGACAATGGAGAGCAGGAGGTCCGGGTAGCCTCCTGTGCCAGCCAGTACTACCTGCCTTGTGACCTTGGGTGTGCCCCTTCTCCTCTCTGGGTCCTAGTTTCTACTTCTGTTTACAGTAAGAAAATCAGACTAGCCCAGAGTTGGAAACCCAAATGTCTACATAAGCTGGGCTGCCTATGGGGCTCCATGAAGATAGAGCCTACTTTAGCCAAAGGCTTTATTGCTATTTAGTTAGTTGCTCTTAACTAGGCAGCAGCCAGCCTTTTTTTTTTTTTTTTTTAAGAAAAGCCAGAAATCTAGATCTCTAGATTTTTTCATAGTTAGCAGCTAAAATGGTAGGAGCCAAACAAAACCCATCCGTGGGTTGGATTTGGCATGCATGCCAGTGAATTGCAGTCTTTGTGCTGATCTCTTGGGCCCTTCTGGGGAGGCAGAGGGAAGGCTCCCTGACTCAGGCACACAGAGTGGGAAATAGGCAGTGACAGTCATTTGATGGTAAGGTATATATGTTTTAAGAATTTAGGTCAGGCATGGTGGCTCACGCCTGTAATAGCAGCACTTTAGAAGGCCAAGATGGGTGGATCACCTGAGGGTCAGGAGTTCAAGACCAGCCTGGCCAACATGATGAAACCCCATCTCTACTAAAAATACAAAAAGTAGCTGGGCATGGTAATGCACGCCTGTAATCCCAGCTACTTGGGAGGCTGAGGCAGGATAATGGCTTGAACCCGGGAGGCAGAGGTTGCAGTGAGCCGAGATCCTGCCATTGAACTCCAGCCTAGGTAACAGGGTGAGACTCCATCTCAAAAAAAAAAAAAAATCTTAGGATCACATATATGGAAAGTATCTTCATTTTAAAATTCGAGGTTTGTCTACTCTGTTGATAAGAGTTTAGTATTTCTCAAGGAGGCTAAGATACTTACTCCTTTTTGGATCCTACCTCTATCAAGAGGGTGGGCCTTCCTTGCATTGAAACAGTAGCCCTGAAATCATAAGTGGGACACACTTCATCTGTTGGTAAAGCAGGCAGTTTTTTTCCTCCCACCATGGTGCCCAATAAGGAGATTTCACTAGGGTCCAGTCATTCATTTGATGAGCATTTGTTGAACATATGCTCTGTGATGGTACTATGACAGTACTGGGGCTACAGTGAGGAAAGGATTGAGTTGGTCCCTATAGCAAGGAAGGTAGCTAATCAACAAGCAAAATATAGGGCTATCTTTAGCACTCATGAGTGTGAGCCCAGGCCTGGAGGGGACCCCTGGAGAAGAGGGTGCATGTCTTTTCTCCTGTGCTTTGCAGGGAAGGAGATCACGTTGCTGATGCAGACATTGAATACTCTGAGTACCCCAGAGGAGAAGCTGGCTGCTCTGTGCAAGAAGTATGCTGAACTGGTCAGTTCCCCCCTCTGCGGGTACCTTCCCTGCCTTGGGAAAATCAGCATGCCACCTGGCGTAGGGTTGGGGGTGCAGGGGCAGGTAGGTGGCTTAATTCGTATTCAACTTTTCTCTGAACTATCTGTTAAATGGGATCACTTCCCAGCCAGCTTCTTCAGGGCTGTACAGTAAGAAACTGCACATTCCTTGAAAGAAATTTCTCAAAGAATGATTCCAAGATGGTAGAGCCCTTGTTCCTGAGTTCAAGACACCATGTGATCTTGATGCATTTTCCTCAAATACAGATGCATAGAGCCATTATCACACTTAATAAAACTAACTCCAGTCACTTGATACTTCTTTCCTTTTATAACAGAATAGTCTTCTTGTCACTGCCTCCTCATATTCCCATGACATTGACTTTTTTTTTTCGAGACATTGACTTTTTACAGAAACCAGACTAGCTGTCCTGTAGGATGCACCCTGTTAGCTTTGTTATCTCTGTGGTAGCATTTTACTTCCTTACCTTCTTAGTGCCTGTTAGTGAAGTAGAAGTTAGCTCCAAAGCTTGATCCAATTCAGCTTCAACTTTTTTGACAAAAAATTTTCATATGTAGTATGAAAAATACTACTCTGTACTTCATGTTCCCTCACAATAAATACAAAGTGTGCCCTTCCCACTCTGTTGTAACATTGTTCAGTGGGTTCAGGTAGAGCAACCAAATTCTTTCATCAGGTTCTCCATCAGAATTTGAACTGCAGATTCATTCATTGATGGTCATAGTCTATTTATTTTGAAATTCATTCATTCAATGCAATTTATTAATATTTTCCTGTAAGGAACTTTGCTCATCTGTAAAATGGGAAATGTCATACCTACCTAATGAGATTCTTATAAGGATTAAATAACAAGTATAAAGAAGATAAGCACCCTTTTAGAGTGATCCAGCCAGGGAAAACTTGCTGATGCAAGAGAGGAAGTGAGTTGCTGGAGTGGTGGTCTGACTAGAGGGGAGTGGAGGCCCAGTGCCCAAGAAGGGGACTTGGCTGTGGTAACCACATGGCTAGATCTGTGTGACTGGAGGAGAAGATGGGGCAGGTGGACTGGCAGATGTGGAGCTTGTGCCCCTCATTCTCTGGTTTATTCTGTTTTGAGATTTGATGAGGACGATTAAATAGTTGTCTGGAAGGAGAGGAGTGTGAATAGCATGTGCATTGTATTGGGATTTCTGGTCTTCCTGAAATTGGTGGCCATGAATTTAAAATGAGACTCTTCAAGTAGGGTTGTTCTAATGCTGTTTAAAGCAGGAAGGTACTTTACTAGGGTTGCAGTGTCTGGGGAAGGGCCAAAAGAGTGAGGGTATAAGAAATCTAAGTAAGTGGTTATTTTAAAGGAGAGTGGAAGGATGGTTGAGTCAGTGGATTGGGGGTCCTACAGGGTAAGAGACTTTCTGAGGATTACAGATTTTGATTGGAATGGCTAAAAAATAGGTGGTAGTAGTCCTGGCCTGGGCTGCTGGAAATTGAGATAGTGGGTGTGCTCTCTGGTAGTGACAAAGTCTAGATCTGCGCTGTCCAGGATAGAGTCATCTCTAGCTAATTGACATGTGGCCAGTCTGAATTTGAACATGCTATAAATGTAAGATACACATCAGATTTTGAAGACTTAAGCAAAAACAAAGAATATAAAACATCTCACTTTTTTTTTTGACACAGTGTTTCACTCTGTCACCCAGGCAAAAGTGCAGTGGTGCTGTCACCTGCTCCCACGTTCAAACGATTCTCCTGCCTCACAGCCTCCCGAGTAGCTGGGATTACAGGTGCATGCCACCAAACGGGCTAATTTTTTGTTTTTTTTTTTTTTGAGATGGAGTTTTGCTGTTGTTACCCAGACTGGAGTGCAATGGCATGACCTCGGCTCACTGCAACCTCCGCCTTCTGGGTTCAAGCAATTCTCCTGCCTCAGCCTCCCGAGTAGCTGGGACTACAGGCGTGCGCCACCATGCCCAGCTAATTTTTGTATTTTTAGTTGAGACGGGGTTTCACCTTGTTGACCAGGATGGTCTCGATCTCTTGACCTCGTGATCCACCCGCCTCGGCCTCCCAAAGTGCTGGGATTACAGGCGTGAGCCGCCACGCCGACCAATTTTTTGTATTTTTTTTAGTAAAGACAGGGTTTCACCATGTTTGCCAGAGTGGTCTTGAACTCCCGACCTCAAGTGATCCACCTGCCTTGGCCTCCGAAAGTTCTGGGAATCACAGTTGTGAGCCACCACTCTTGGCCTCACTTTTTTACATTGATTTCATGTGGAAATTGTAATGTTTTGGATATTGGGTTAAATATATTATGGCCGGGGACCGTGGCTCACGCCTGTAATCCCAGCACTTTGGGAGGCCCAGGTGGGTGGATCACAAGGTCAGGAGTTTGAGACCAACCTGGCCAACATGGTGAAACCCCGTCTCTACTAAAAATACAAAAATTAGCTGGGCATGGTGGCGCGTGCCTGTAGTCCTAGCTGCTTGGGAGGCTGAGGCAAGAGAATCGCTTGAACCAAGAGGGCAGAGGTTGCAGTGAGCCGAGATCTTGCCACTGCACTCCAGCCTGGGTGACAGAGCAAGACTCAGTGTTGAAAAAGAAAAAAGGAAAAAAAAAAAAATATATATATATATATATATATAATATATATATAAATATGTATATATTTTTTTTTCTTTTCCTCCTAGCTTAATTTTAGTTATATATATAACTAAAGTTAATTTCACCGTTTCTTTTTACTTTTTTATTGTGGCCAGTAGACTATTTTTAATTACTTACATGGTTTAATTATATTTCTGCTGTACAGGCCTGGATTCTACTAAAAATACAAAAATTAGCCAAGTGTGCTGGTGCATGCCTATAATCCAGCTTCTCAGGTGGCTGAGGCATGAGAATCCCTTGCACCCAGGAAGCTGAGGTTGCAGTGAGCTGAGATTGCACCACTGCATTACAGCATGGGCAACAGAGTGAAACACTGTCTTAAAAAAAAGTAGTGGCCAGGAGGGTTCATGGAAGTGGGGGAAAAGGACTGGGTTTGTGGAAGAGGTGAAGAACTGTGAGGCCAGGGAGTCAGAAGGATTGTCTGTTGATACTGAAGTGGCCACAAATGAGAAAAGTAATTATGTTGGGAAAGGCGCTGGTGCTAACCCAGTGCTAACGTTTTGAAGGAATGAGAGGGAGCAATGGGGGTCTGTTAATGGGCACAAGGTAGAGTAGCAGGTGGTCTCATTCTTGGGCATGAGTGTTCAGCAAATTGGGGAAATGCAACAGCCTGAAGTGGCTCTAGTGGCCCAGAGTCAGAGCTGTAATAGGAATTGGCACTTGCTGGCTGTGTGGCCCCTGCTTGCCCTTCTCTCTCCCTACGGTTGACCCTTTGGGGTTATTGTGAGCAGTTCATGGGAGAAGTATATAAGTGCCAGCACAGCATCAGCCCATGACAGCACTCATGGCCTGAGAGGGTGCAGGGCAGAGCAGCTCAGGAGACCCTAGACCCCCGTAGTGATCCCCACCAGGAAGGCCCCACATGATGCTCACCTGCCCTCCTTATCCCTGTCCCCAGCTGGAGGAGCACCGGAACTCACAGAAGCAGATGAAGCTCCTGCAGAAAAAGCAGAGCCAGCTGGTACAAGAGAAGGACCACCTGCGTGGTGAGCACAGCAAGGCTGTCCTGGCCCGTAGCAAGCTTGAGAGCCTGTGCCGTGAGCTGCAGCGGCACAACCGCTCCCTTAAGGTAGGTGCTGGGCACTCTTGAACAGGTGACTCTGGTTTCCTTGACTTCTGCCTCGTCTTTCTTTCGTGGGCTTTCCTCTTAAAAAGTAGTGCAGAGCGCGGTGGCTCAAGCCTGTAATCCCAGCTCTTTGGGAGGCTGAGGCGGGTGGATCACGAGGTCAAAAGATCGAGACCATCCTGGTCAACATGGTGAAACCCCATCTCTACTAAAAATACAAAAAAATTAGCTGGGCATGGTGGCTCGTGCCTGTAAGGAGGCATGGAGGCTGAGGCAGGAGAATTGCCTGAACCCAGGAGGCGGAGCTTGCGGTGAGCCGAGATCGTGCCATTGCACTCCAGCCTGGGTAACGAGCGAAACTCCATCTCAAAAAAAAAAAAGTAGTGCAGGCTAGGGCTGGGCTTAGTGGTCCATATAAGTAATTAAAAATCTGGCCACTCTAAAAAACTAAAAAGAAACGACTAAAACTAATTTTAGTAATATATTTATTTATACTATCCAAAACACTACAATTTTAACGTGGAATACTGTAAAAAAGCAAGGCTGGGCATGGCGACTCACACCTATAATCTCAACACCTTGGGAGGCCAAAGTCATGGATCACTTGAGGCCAGGAGTTTGAGACCAACCCGCCCAACATGGCACAACCCCATTCTACTAAAAATACAAAAATTAGCCAACTATGCTGGTGCATGCCTATAATCCAGCTACTCAGGTGGCTGAGGCACAAGAATCCCTTGCACCCAGGAAGCTGAGGTTGCAGTGAGCCGAGATTGCATCACTGCATTACAGCATGGGCAAGCAACAGAGTAAGACACTGTCTCAAAAGAAGTAGTGGCCAGGCACAGTGGCTTACACCTATAATCCCAGCACTTTGGGAGCCCAAGTCAGGCAGTTCGCAAAGTCAGGAGTTCGAAACCATCCTGGCCAATATGGTGAAACACTGTATCTACTAAAAATACAAAAATTAGCCGGGCATGGTGGTGGGGACCTGTAGTCCCAGCTACTTAGGAAGCTGAGGCAGGAGAATCACTTGAATCTGGGAGGTAGAGGTTGCAGTGAGCTGAGATTGCAGCCTGGGTGACAGAGCAAGACTCTGTCTCAAAATAAATACATAAATAAATAATTTTTAAAAATAGTGCAGGGTTGTGGCATAGAAATACAATTTCTCAATAATGCCTTATATTAGAGAGCACTACTTGTAACCATTTGAAATGTATTAGGTAAGGATAAAGTGCTAAGAGAATCCATAATTCACTGGCATCAATATTTCTCAATGAAAGGCAGTCCCCTAGTAAACGGAGGTCTGGCCCTGACAAGCAGCTCTTGTTCCAGAGGTTGGTCAGTCAGGAACCTGGGTCTTTCCAACGTTCTGCTGCCTTTATAGTGAGGGCAGTCTGTGGTCACAGGAAATTTACATACATTCTTCTAACTTTCCTTTTATTTTTTGTATTTTTTTTTTTTTTTTTTTTTGAGACTGAGTTTCACTATTGTCACCCAGACTGGAGTGCAATGGCATGATCTCGGCTAACCGCAACCTCTGCCTTCTGGGTTCAAGCAATTCTCCTGCCTCAGCCTCCCGAGTAGCTGGGACTACAGGCGTGCACCACCATGCCCAGCTAATTTTTGTATTTTTAGTAGAGACGGGGTTTTACCTTGTTGACCAGGATGGTCTTGATTTCTTGACCTTGTGATCTACCTGCCTCGGCCTCCCAAAGTGCTGGGATTATAGGCGTGAGCCACCGCGCCCGGCCCTAACTTTCCTTTTAATATGTAAAAATCTTACATGATTTTTTTTAGTTTCTAGCATGAAATTATACATGTACCATTTAATATCCTATTTTTTTTTCACTTTACATAGCGTATCCCTATCCGTTTGTGTGGAGCTATCTTCACTCTTTTTTTTTTTCTTTCTTTTTTTTTTTTTTGAGACAGAGTCTTACTCTCGTCGTCCACACTGAAGTGCAATGGCATGGTCTTGGTTCACTGCAACCTCTGCCTCCTGGGTTCAGTGGATTCTCCTGTCTCAGCCCCCTGAGTAGCTGGGATTGCAGGCACCCGCCACCACACCCGGCTAATTTTTTTGTATTTTTAATAGAGACGGGGTTTCACCATGTTGGTCAGGCTGGCTTGACCTTCAGACCCTGTGATCTGCCCACTTTGGCCTCCCAAAGTACTGGAATTACAGGCGTGAGCCACTGTGTCCAGCCTTATCTTCACTCTTTTTAATAGCTTAACATCAGTATATGGATACATTATATTTCATCAGTGCCCTAGTTAAGACATTTTTGGGTTGTTCACCATTTTTCACTATTACATATAGAACTACAGTGAAAATTCTTGTTATATTTATTTATTGCTGGTCAGTTATATAGAACTTGCCTGTAGGATAAGTAATGGAAGTAAAATGGCTAGGTCAAAGTATATGCAGATTTTTAATTTTAATAGATTTTACTGGATGTCTTCCAGTGAGGGGGCAGTGTGCCTCCCCCCATCAGAAGTGCTGAGTGCCTAATTCTGCACAACTTTGCAAACCCTGGGTGTTACTAAATTTTAACAGCTTGGTCTCTGGGGGCACAGAGGGAACAAATGTACATTAATCTGAAATCTGGAAGAATAGGCCTTAGGAAATCCAACTTGCTTTAGAATGACACTTACAGGTGTGCCTGCATTTTTCTAGGGGGACAATCTCATTTGTCACCTGATATATAGAGGGGACCATTGGAACTCACATTATACAACATCCTGGAGCCTGGCTACTCCTCACTTTGGGAGCAGGGAGGGCTTTTGGCAGAGACCATCTGTGGACTAGTTGGGGGAGCCTTGTGAGGTAGCAGTGGATGATGGCTCTAGGGCTGACTTCTCTGCCCAGGAAGAAGGTGTGCAGCGGGCCCGGGAGGAGGAGGAGAAGCGCAAGGAGGTGACTTCGCACTTCCAGGTGACATTGAATGACATTCAGCTGCAGATGGAACAGCACAATGAGCGCAACTCCAAGCTGCGCCAAGAGAACATGGAGCTGGCTGAGAGGCTCAAGAAGCTGATTGAGCAGTATGAGCTGCGAGAGGAGGTAAGGGTGTCATGGACAACAGTCATGGCCAAGAAATTAGAAGGTTTTGAGTGTGTGATAGGCATGGGGACAGTACCTTTTCAGGCTTCATCCCATTCTCCTTTATTCCTCCTTCTTTGGAAAGAGAGTAATGTTATTCATCACAGATAAAAAAACAGGTATGGAGAAGAGGCTCACAGCCACACAGCCCTAGGTCCACAGTGCCTTGCCCCAAACTACTGGGCCAGGTATCTTTTGGAATGAGAACTATCCACATTTTAGAATGGAGGTACGTATATGGACTGTGTGTTATATAGCACCCTCAGCAGGGCTTTGGGGAAGCTAGACGTGTTAATGTTTATGCAATAGAACTTCCAAACACACCTAGATTATGGGCTTACAGTGATGCCGGTCAAGTTTGGCTGCCAGCTTACAACAATTTTCATTTTCAGAGCTTTGAAGAAATTGGAATTACAGGGAAGGGGCTGTACCTGTGATCAGTAATGGACTCCAGAGACTCTGTCCACTGATTCCTTGCTGCTCCTGCCGCTTAAAAAGCAGGATGTCAGGCTGGGTGTGGTGGCTCACGCCTGTAATCCCAACACTTTGAGAGGCTGAGGCGAGCAAATTACCTGAGGTCAGGAGTTCAGTACCAGCCTGGCTAACATGGTGAAACCCTGTCTCTATTAAAAATACAAAAAAATTAGCCAGGCATGGTGTGGCATGCCTGTAGTCCCAGCTACTTGGGAGGCTGAGGCAGGAGAATTGCTTGAACCCAGGAGATGGAAGTTACAGTGAGCTGAGATTGTGCTACTGCACTCTAGCCTGGGTGACACAGTAAGACTCTTTCTAAAAAAAAAAAAAAAAAAAGGCAGGATGTCACTGTCTTTGTGACTGCATTGGCTTCTACCCCAGGCACTTGAATCTTTGGGTCCCCCATGCCAGTCAACTGGGTGTTCAGGGCATGTTTCTCATCATGAGAAGGGACACCTGCAGTCCCCTTACAGGGTTGACAGAGGACCTTTCCTCTGGTCTGGATTAGGTCCTTTCCTAGCCCCTAGAGATATGGCAGTGGGTGAAACAGGCGAAATCTGCCCTCTTATCGTTTATAGGCCAATGTGATGAACAGGTGTGCAGGACCAAGAGGGCACTTACCTGACCCACCTGTTTCCTTGCCATACTTCATCCTCTGGGAACAAGGCTGCTTATTTGGTTTGAGGGGAGTTGGTTTGGTTCTTATCCCTCAGCACTGAGACGTAGAGGCTTCCTGACTGTTGGAGTGAGACACGAACTTCAAGAATCTGAATACTTGCTTTCTCTCCCTGTAGAGCAAAAAAAGACTTAGTCCTGCCTGTGGAGAAGCAGGTGCAGAACTACCAGGCCCTGCTGCTGCATCTTTACAGCCCTCCCAGGCAGACACAGGCACTTTCATCATACGCAAACTGGACTTATCCTCTAGGCACTTTCCCTTCTCCATCCAGAAAATGGAGTTATTTTCTCTTAATTCAGCAAGTCCAGTTGATTTTACCTTTGAAATAGCACCTGAGTCCTTCACCTTCTCTCCATCCCTGCTGTCTCACCTGGCACGGGTCCCCAGAGCTTCTCCAGTAGACGGGACAGCCATTCCTTGGGATGCACACGTCTAGTCTTTGCCAGCTGAGCTAGGCTGTTGTGTTCTTAGAGGCATTGTTTTTGCCCATTCTTCCCATTTATTTTTTATTTATTTATTGTTTGTTTGTTTTAAGATGGGTTTCACCATGTTGGTTGGGCTGGTCTTGAACTCCTGACCTCAGGTGATCTGCCCGCCTTGGCTTCCAAAGTGCTTGGATTACAGGCGTGAGCCACCACGCCCAGCCATATTCTCATTTATAAGTGAATCAGGGACCACAAAAGTGAGGACTCCTAGCCCCATAGTTGATCAATCCAGGGACCAGAGATTTGGGTGTGTTTATTGCTTGGCTTCTTGGGGACAGATTCCATTCACAGACCCATGTGTTACCAAGGTCTGACTCACTGGGAGAAAAACGGGGTGAGGTTGGAAAGCTGACCTTCCAGAGACTTGGGGCCCATGTTGTGTGGTACACATGGGAGTCAGCTTATCAGATTGAGATGGGGGGCTCGATCTGATAAACTGGCTCCCATATGTACCACACAACATGGGCCCCAAGATGGGGGCAGAGTGCTGTGGTCTGTGCCTGTGGGGCCACGCTGAGAAAGGGAGCTCCTGACAAGCTGCTCCCACCATCTTTGCTGCAGCATATCGACAAAGTCTTCAAACACAAGGACCTACAACAGCAGCTGGTGGATGCCAAGCTCCAGCAGGCCCAGGAGATGCTAAAGGAAGCAGAAGAGCGGCACCAACGGGAGAAGGATTTTGTGAGGCTCAGGCCCCAGGGCTGGGGTATGGGTGTGGGAGGAGGTAGACTGGGCTCTGGCTCAGCTTATAGCTGGGTTATACGGGAGTTGTTGTCTGGCCAGACCAAGCACAGATTCTTTTAGTTCCAGTCTGATAGCAGGAAGCCTCAGTGGGTCTGGTGCTTGTGGCTAAAAACCAAACACAGCCCCTGGGGGCTTCTGACAGGATCTGGGGTTCTGTCTTGGAAATAGCTCCTGAAAGAGGCAGTAGAGTCCCAGAGGATGTGTGAGCTGATGAAGCAGCAGGAGACCCACCTGAAGCAGCAGGTGAGAGTGTATAACCTGACCCTGTGCCTTTCAAGGTCCCCTCACTGGGCCCTATCCTGCAGGGAATGAACTGGGAGTCTTCTTCTAGGGCTGGTTCTGTGCTGGCTGCTCTGAGACCTTGGTTGATCCTTTGTTCTCTTTGGACCTGCACAGTACCTATGTGGTGGTGACCAGGTAGTTAGGTGAGCTTAGAGGACTTCATTTGTAGCTCAGAAATGTTGTATTGCTTTTGAGGAGGTGGGAACAGAAGAATTTGAAAATCAACATCAATACAAAATAAAGTCACCCTAAACCTCCTACTTTCCAGGCTTAGCATTTTGGATTACATCCTTCCAAATATACATCTTTGCTTTATTTTAAGGAAAAATAGTATCTCAGTAGAATTATTGGCTCAAAGAGTCAAGGACAGGTCTGAGTGTGTTGACCAGAGTGCCTTCCAGAGAAACCCAGTGTTATCTGTGGGCTACTTTCTCCACCAGCTTGCCCTATACACAGAGAAGTTTGAGGAGTTCCAGAACACACTTTCCAAAAGCAGCGAGGTATTCACCACTTTCAAGCAGGAGATGGAAAAGGTAACAGTGGGCCAGGCCAGGCCAGGCATGGCTGCTGGGACATAAGCGGCTTCATTCAGAATGGTTGGGCCTGCCTTCAGGAAGTTCCCATCTGGAGTGTCTCAAGGGTGGGCCTTCCCTTGTGAACCCTCAAGGGGAGGGGTCACAGCCTTTCCTCTTGAGGCAGTATCAGTGGTATGTATACCCTGAAGATTGTCCTAGGGAATGGGGCAGTCTTAGTTCTTTTTTTTTTTTTTTTTTTTGAGATGGAGTGTCTCTGTGTTGCCCAGGCTGGAGTGTAGTGGCATGATCTTGGCTTACTGCAGCCTCCACCCTCCTGGGTTCAAGTGATTCTCCTGCCTTAGCCTTCTAAGTAGCTGGGATTACAGGCGTGTGCCACCATGCCTGGCGAGAGAGAGTGTGAGTGAGTGAGTGTGTATGTGTGTGTGTGTTTAACTAGAGATGGGGTTTCAGCATGTTGGCCAGGCTAGTCTAATTCCTGGCCTCAAGTGATCCACCCATCTCAACCTCCCAAAGTGCTGGGATTACTGGTGTGAGCCACCATGCCCAGTGTCATTTCTTTCTTTTTTTTTTTGAGACAGAGTCTCACTCTGTCACCTAGGTTGGAGTGCAGTGGTATCATCTTGGCTCACTGCCACCTCCCCCTCCCAGGTTCAAGTGATTCTGTGCCTCAGCCTCCTGAGAAGCTGAGATTACAGGCTCATGCCACCACACCTGGCTAATTTTTTTGTATTTTTAGTAGAGACGGTTTTGCCATGTTGACCAGGCTGGTCTTGAACTCCTGGCCTCAAGTGATCCACCCCCCTTGGCCTCCGAAAGTGCTGGGATTACAGGTGTGAGCCACCATGCCCGGCCCCTTACCATTTCTTGTTATTGGTGGTGGACACTTGTGACTTACTTCTGGTGGTGAGGTGGCACAGAGGGCATTTACTATACCCTGTAATACCTTACCCCTTGGGATCTATCAGTCCCTACTTGGGAGAAACAGGTGCACAAAGAGCCTGGCTCTGACCATTTCCTTCTGTCTGTCACATAACCTAGATGACTAAGAAGATCAAGAAGCTGGAGAAAGAAACCACCATGTACCGGTCCCGGTGGGAGAGCAGCAACAAGGCCCTGCTTGAAATGGCTGAGGAGGTGCGCTGTCTGTGATCTGCAGCCGGGGTTGGGGTGTGCACTTAGCGCTTATCAGGCCCTTTCCTGTATGTTCTACCCATCAGTGACACAGCTAGCATGAGGTAGAGGTGGGCTCGAATACATTGTCCAAGTCCAAAGTTAATGCTGTCTCCCCAGGGGAGGTGGTGAGCCCAGTGGTAGGTCTCCAGAGGCTCTGAGTGAAGGGAGCAAATGGAAGAAAGGGATAAATGAGCAGGAAAAACGGGTGCCAGTGATGTGCCTGCTTTACATGTAAAGCAGCCCAGGTAATTTGTGATTTCATGGCTTGTAATGTAGAAGAAGGGACCTAACACTGATGGAGCAGACTGCAAGCCATACCTTGCTGCATATTTTAAGTATGTGGTTCATCGAACCTTCTCTTGAGATCTGAGGATGGCATTAGTCCTGTTTTACAGGTGAGACAGGCTTAAAAGCCAAGTCCTTTGCCAAGGTCATGTGGTAGATAAATGAAGGAATACCTTATCTCCAAGCCATGCCTTTTTTTGCATCACACTGCCCCACCTGAGAGCCCAGTCATGGCATCAGCCAGGGCTGTTTCCTAGAGGGGGCCAGCTTTGGACTCTGGTCTGCTTACTCCCAGCCTTGTTAAAGTGTTTGCCACCAAGTGGTGATGGTAAGTGGGGGTTAATGGGGTATGGCCCTGAAGGTCTCATTTCTCTCTCTAGAAAACAGTCCGGGATAAAGAGCTGGAGGGCCTGCAGGTAAAAATCCAACGGCTGGAGAAGCTGTGCCGGGCACTGCAGACAGAGCGCAATGACCTGAACAAGAGGGTACAGGACCTGAGTGCTGGTGGCCAGGGCTCCCTCACTGACAGTGTCCCTGAGAGGAGGCCAGAGGGGCCTGGGGCTCAAGCACCCAGCTCCCCCAGGGTCACAGAAGCACCTTGCTATCCAGGAGCACCAAGCACAGAAGCATCAGGCCAGACTGGGCCTCAAGAGCCCACCTCCGCCAGGGCCTAGAGAGCCTGGTGCTGGGGCATGCTGGGAAGGGAGCAGTAGCCCAGCCAGGCCTGGCCCATAAAAGGCTCCCGTGCTGAGCAGCCCATTGGTGAAGCCAGGATGTTCTGACCTGGCTGGCATCTGACACTTGCAATTTTGGATTTTGTGGGTCAGTTTTACGTACATAGGGCATTTTGCAAGGCCTCATGCATTTATACCTGTAAGTGTACAGTGGGCTTTGCATTGGGGGTGGAGGTGTGTACAGATGAAGTCAGTGGCTCCTTTGTGAGCTGAAGAGTCTTGAGAGGGCTGTCATCTGTAGCTGCCTTCACGGTGAGTTGGCAGAACAAGTGACTTAAGCATTTCTCTGCCTAATTTGAGGCTCAGACCCCTCCCTGCCCTTCAGAGCTCAAGACAAGTGATGTACCCAGGTCTTGACTGCATTTCTCTTGTGAGCAGGGCTTGCTTGGGCAGCTCAGGCTCTCCTAGCTGCTCTGGAGGCTCCTTTGCTTCTCTAGACCTGGAAAATGTGTCCCCAGGCAGAGCCCTGGCAGGGCGCTTAGAGCTGGTGATTTCCTGCCTAGGACAAGAGACCTGGAGAATGTTTTTATGTGGGATGATGCACTGGTCGGGAGCCCTTTGGGCATTGCTCCCCCTGCCCTTTGGTAGTGCCAGGACCAGGCCAACGATGCTTCTCAGTAGCCTTACATTCACAGGTGCCTCTCTAGCCTGCACAAATGATTGACGAGATCACCCAAAGGATTCTTTCTGAAGGTGTTTTTTTCTTTCTTTCTGTTTTTTCTTTTCTTTTTTTGCACTGACAGTGTTTGTCTTGAGGATCTTCTGAGGAAGAGGGGTGCTGTGGCAGTGGCACCTGGGTGCCTGGCCTCCAGTGTCCCATCCCCTTCACCCCACTTGGCTCCTTTGCCATCTTGGTGCTGAGGTTTCCTGTGTGGTGAGATCAGGTTGTATGTTGTAAGAGAAAGGAAAGGGCTTCTGATGGCTTTGCCGCAAGCTTACCTGTGGGTTTCTGTCCTGAGAGGCCACCCCCAGTTCCCATCAGCACTATCTCCATGCAGCAGTTGCTGGGCCCCAGGTCCAGCTGCCTCCTTGGCTTCATGGGTTTTTCTGCTTCCTGCCCCCACCCCCACATGTACAGTCCTCAAGATTTGTCCTGATTCCATTTCCTGGCACCTCTCTGCCTGTCCTTGGGGATTTCACTTCTGTGTGGGAGCCCATAGCTGTTGTCTGACAGGTAGGAAATGAAATTGAATTATTGACTGGGCCCTAGAAATCCACAAAATGGTTGCAGACGGTTGCTTCTGTGTCCTATTCTCCCCCCACCCCTGTATATAACTACTATATACTGTGTAGAGCCATTCTATATGCTGAATGTTCTGCTGTTGCAAACTTGCCAGGGTATTAGCCAGTCTTTATGCAAAGCAGTTTTCTGGGACAATAGAATGAGTCACACACCAAGATGGGTAGGAGGTTAGGGCTTTGCTTCTTGCTGTTTTTCTTTGAAGCTAGTTCATTGTCCTTCAGGTCCTTCATCTTCCCTACCCAGCCCACTCTTTTAGCCCTTAAATCTCAGATAAATTGGTTCACAAAGAATGTTAAGTACAGAATCATATATGACTGAGACCAGAGATGGCAAATGAATGGCACACCATTTCTCCTCCTGCCCCAGAGCAGGTACCACTGTTCTGCATCAGAGTTGTCCACTATTCTCTGGTGTATCCTTACTTCGCATCTAGGTGCCCTCAAGCAGCTGTGTGAGCGTTGAGATCTCCGCCATCCCTGGCTGAGATACTGCTGTCCTGTGAAGTGTTTCCCAAGATCTTTTTCTTCCCCTTTGAATCTCTGTGTCTGGAGTACTCCTTGCCTCTTCCTGCTCCAGTAGGGCCTTTTCCTTACCCCAGCCCCTGTGCCCGGCTTAGCTGGTACAAGAGCTGCCAACCCTACAGAGTTTGCTAGGTGAGAGAGGTGCAGAGAAGAGGCAGAGGTATGCACCTTCCCTCTTGAAGAGAGGGAAAAGGCCTACAGTGGCCCACATCATTGCCTGACTCACTTCAGCTACCTCTTACAGCCTGTGGAGGGACTGGAGCTGCTGGATCCCAGTGTGGTGGGTATGGGAGGCCACGGTGAGCAGGTGGCCCCATCTGGGTTTCCCAGGTTAGGAATATGGACACCAGACAAAGTATAGCCTTTGCTCACAGCTGCATCCATGTCTAGACTTTCAGGCCAGTCTGCAGGTGGGAGTCCCTACCTTTTTTTCCTCTTCGTTGACCAAATCATAACCAATCACTACAGCTGCTCTGCTTCTGCTTTCCAAAGTAGCCCAGGTCCTGGGCCAGATGCAGGGGAGGTGCCTATCCATGAGTGAAGGCCATTGCCTTCCTCACCCGGGTGGGTCCCACACTTGTGACCTCAGTTTTAGGACCAAGAGCTGTGTTGGTTTCTTAGATTGCTAGCTTTTCCTCCAGGGGACCACAGCAAGTGAAGCTCAGAGTCCACGGCTCTGCTAACAAGTTGTTTTCAGGGCCTTGTCCAGCTGAGAGCTTCATGTCCACCAGATTCTGAGAGGTGTCAGCAGCACTTTTTTTTTTATGTTGTTTGTTTTCCATGAGGTTTTTGGACCATGGGCTGAGCTCAGGCACTTTCTGTAGGAGAATGTTATTTCTGTAAAGACAGTTATTTAACCCTCCTCCACCCCATCATGGCGGCCCTGAGGGCTGACCCAGAGGCCAGTGGAGCTGCCTGGTGTCCACGGGGGAGAGCCAAGGCCTGCTAAGCTGATTCTCCAGCTGCTGCCACAGCCCACCCACCTTGCACAGCACAGAGGTGGTCACTCCAGGGATAGCCAGGCACCTGCTCCTCTTGCCCTTCCGGGGCGGGGGGCTGCCTTCTGTTCCTGTAACTGCTTTCCTTATGGCCCAGCCCGGCCACTCAGACTTGTTTGAAGCTGCTGCACTGGCAGCTTTTTGTCTCCTTTTGGTATTCACAACAGCCAGGGACTTGATTTTGATGTATTTTAAACCACGTTAAATAAAGAGTCTGTTGCCTTACTTCTCTCCTGCCCTGTGTGCTCCTTTGATGCTTCTGGATCAGATCCATTCAGCCCCTTCCATCATCACTGACTTGTCCAGGTCTGCTGCAGAGTCGCCATGACAGTGCTCTGGCATCTTGCATCTTCGAGAGTGCCTTCGAGCAGTCACCACAGCCACAGGACACTGGCAGATTCACTTGAGCTGCCTGAGTGGAGCCCTTGGCAAAGTTGGCAAGACCCTTGCATCAGAGAGGATCAAAAAAAAAAGGTGTCCTTGACCTGGGGGCTCATGGGCTAGAGAAGGGAAACGGTACTTTTAGGTATAGACAGGTCAATGGTGCTGAGAGCAGAGAGGAGGCCCCTGCCCCCTTCAGCAAGGGGTGGGGGTGATGCCTGGAATGACCTGAACCAAAGGTCGGGAAGAAGATTAATGTCATTTAGTGATGAAATGGTATAGCTGGGAAGCAAGTGCATGGGATGGGGCAAGGGGCAAGGCTAGGCCCAGAGCGTGGGTACCAGGTTAAGGAATGTGGGCTAGATGCAGAGGGCAGGGGGGCAACTGAGGGTGTTTCAATAGGAAACTGATAGGCTCCAGGAGTAAGGCAAAAGGTATGGAGCCAGGCATAGGCCAGTTGAGGCCTAGGTTCAGACAAGTGGACGGACACTCCTCACTGCTATTTGGGTCTGTGCTGTGGGTAGGCACCTATGGCCCTGGCCTGCCCAAGGGAATGCACAGGGGCCTCTAATTGTATGTATTCCTTAAGGAGCACATTCTCTGTTCAGTTTTTATACCGCCCATTTACCCACCTCAAGCCCAGGGCTCCTGTATGGGAGAAATTCTGCTGGCGGCCTCACCCAGTACCCTGTTCTCTCTGGGGCCTGGGTTGGTCTGACACAAAGGAGGATATGTGCTGAATGCCCCAAAAATGGCAGAGACAACCCACATGCCCTTCCCTCCAGGCCTCACAAGTAGATGTGTTCACACTGGCTGTGACAGTCCCAGCAGAGCCTCTGACCCTTCTAGCCAGGTCCTGATAAATGTTTTTTCCTTGCTGACCATGTTATTTCCAGTCACATCTGGAGAGGGGGGGTGGGGGGCTACTGCCCCAACTCTTGGAATTTCCAAGCAAAGCAGCTCTGAGAATAGTGAGGTTTCTCACCCCCCCCCCCCCCCCCCCGCCCCGGTGAGGCAGCTGAGGATGGGAAACACAAAGGTGCTCCCTCTGTCAGCAGCAGTTCCACTGTCTAGCAGCTCCCGGGGGTGGCGGGGAAGGAGAGGGATTTCTGTGGTCCCCACTCTGGCCTCCTGGTTATTGAAAAAGTCTAGAATTACTCTCTCCCCTTGTGGAGTGGTCTCAGTGTTGGAAGTACCCGAGAAGGAATCCCGAGCAGGTGCCCTCAGGAACAGCGCCCATGGCCCTTCACATCACCAGAGGCCCAACTTCGGGAAGCCGCTCCTGCCCGGGGAGGGGGAAGGTGGGCTGCGTGCCTGTGTGCACTGCCTTGGGCCAGCTCACTTGAGCCTGCTGGGCCGCCTGGCCAAACACGAGCCTCTCTCCTGTTGTGTCAGATGCTGCTCTGGGGACCTGTGCCAGGAGTCTCTGCCAGGGCTTTAAATAGCTGCCCCATTGATCTGGCTGTGAGCAGCAGCAGACACACTAGGTCAGCTGCCTTTCGGCGCTCAGGTTTCCCTGAGGACTGGAGTCAAGTGCCAGGGAATCGTGTGGTCTTCCCTATGACCTGGTGCTCCCCACACCTGTCTCCTAGGCCTGGGGAGTGGAGAGGGCTCCTGTCACTTCATTTGTGGCGAAAGACAGGCCCCAAAACTTAATAGAGAAAACTGCCTGGTGTTGTAGGGAGAGGGGTTTTGCCCTCAAAAGACGGTTGCTTACTTTCAGTAGACTGGGGAATGACACTGGTATCTTCCTTCAGGGTTCTTATGGGGATTAAATGTGCCTAAAGTGCTCAGTGGAGCATTGGGCTCACTCCATTGATGGCTGTCTTTGCTCGCAGTGTCTTCCTGCTGCTGCTCCTGCTGCCGCTTGTGCTGCTTCTACGCTTACATTCTCTCTCTCTCTCCTCACTGTCTCTCCTCTCCCCTGCCCCACCCCCTTTTCTGACAAAGCCACCACCATTTTGTAAGGAATTGTAGCTTCTCTCTGAAGCTGCCGGGAAAGGGAAAATCTTTTTAAAATCAACGTCACACAATCAACAGGGTCCCCTAGGTTCAGGCGGGGAGGTGAGATTGAGTGAGAGGAACGGCTTTGCACATGCAGGGATGCTCCTCCCTTCTAACCCTTCCCAGCTAAGGAGAAGGTCACTTTCTCTTTAAATGCAAATTAACTCCCTCCAGCTTAGCTTCCACAGAGTGGTGTTCCCGGGAGGAGAGGGCGGAGGGCGGAGGGAACTTGCACTGAAGAAGCATCACTCGAGACCCCAAACCTCCAGGTCAGTAGCCCCCTGAGGGAGTGAGGGCGGGGGCGGAATGACGCGGGTCTGACGCTCCGTCTTCGAGCGCGGCTCCGGAGCTGAGCGATGCGTTTGGCACATGGCTTTGGAGCCCGGGCGTGGGAAATAGATCCCCGGTCGCCCCAGCCGCTCCTGGGGAGCACAGACTCCGGCTCCAGTGCTATCAAGTTCCTAATTGGGTCAAGCTGCTGCAGGGAGAGGCAGAGGATGCGCTATCTTCCCTCCCCACACCCCCAAACCCTGTCGGTGCCAGCCAGCTGTGTGCCAGTGTAAATGCTTAAGCGCCAGCCCCCCGACACACACCCCAGAGTTCGGAGTTAGGCTTGGTAGCAGCAGCTGGAATGAGACTTCCAGAGGAGAGGACCCCAGCCGACCAGAGGCTTCGGGGGCGGGGCTGTACCCGAGGCGGCGGAGCAGCCTAGCCACAGCCTCAGCCATTGTCGGAGGCCCAGGCAGCCAGCGGCTGACCACCCAGCCCACCCTGGCAGCAGCTGAAGCCCAGCAGGGACTTTCCGACTGGGAAAAATGAAGCAGCTGGAAGAACACCCGGGGGAACTTCCGGGAGTCCCTGGTGTTTTCGGTTGGGGGTGGGTGGAAGAGGAGGGATGCCGGTGTCTAAGTGGGGGAAACCCACAGTGAACCCTGCCCTGTGTGCTGCGGCTTCTCCTACAATAATCCAGACCCTGGGGCCTTCCCAGGTGCCCCCCGCCTGCGCCTTGGCCCCCTCCCATGCTGATAGGGTTTGTCAGCATCTGCTTAGGCCACTGATAAATGAATGGGGCTTAGTGAAGACACCCCTAATCCTCAGCTGGGCCCCTGCAGCTCACCTCCATCCTGTCTCCCACTACATTTCCTCTACCAGCCCCGCCCCCCCCCCAGCCTTGGGGACAGGAAACCACAGCAGTGCCAAGATAATTGTGTCTGGTCCTGCCCTTTCAGGAGGGGCCTAGGTTTTCAGGCAGAAGGGGAATTATGGCGGGCCTTAGAAGGTCCTTCAAGTGTACATCCATGACCCCAGCAGCAGACACTGACATCTGGCTCTGCCCCTACCGTACAGATGAGGGGACAAGTTGGAAGGTGCCAGGGCCCTTCCTTTGCAGCTCTCAGGGATCCCGGGGTGAAGGGCTAACTTTGCCCCTGGCTATCTTTGTGGGGTTGCTTCCCTCCTAGGTGTGAGACCCAGACGGCACCCAATGGATGACAAGAAGAAGAAACGGAGTCCCAAGCCCTGCCTGGCCCAGCCAGCCCAGGCCCCAGGCACACTACGCAGGGTCCCTGTGCCTACCAGCCACAGTGGCTCCTTGGCCCTAGGACTTCCTCATCTGCCATCCCCCAAGCAGCGGGCCAAGTTCAAGAGGTGGGTATAGAAGGGAAGCAAAGCAAAGGAGGAGGGACCCAAACTCTGGGCTGCACTTTAGAGAGGACAGCAAAGGCGGTTCCTAAGCAATCATTGATGCCTTTCTGGAGCAGGCCCCTGAGAACTGAGAGCTCACTCAGACCCAGTGTCTACCTTCAACTGTGTGGCAAAAAGGCCAGGTAGGTCACTAGGATCACACAGCATGAGGATGTGTCTCAGAGGAGGGAGTGAGCAACTCTGCCAGAAAGTGAATGTTCCACACTGAGGGGCTTACCTGGCATAAATGTGGAAGAAAGCTCTTAACTGAAAAGTTTCAGGAACCACAGGTGGTTTGGGGGCTCAGGACTATCAGAGGACAGGAAGTGGTGAGGGAATACCCTGAGGCACGATTTGAGTTGTTGAATTTTTTTTATGATTGGGAGTTTGCATGCTGCCTTATGATGTGTCCATGTTTGTTCCTCACTAAATGCAATGTATTCTTTCTCCAGTTGTTCCAAATAAGACCACTGTGTTTCCCTGCGTTTTGCACACCACTTCTGTAAGAGGCATGAAGCTCAAGGCTGGGGGGAGAGTAGCAGGAAAGGCAACTGGGGAGGCAGGAGAGGGCCAGGCTGGCAGGGGCATTCAACTTTATCCTGACGGCAGTGGAAACTTTAAGACAGGTTGTTTTTTAGTTTAGTTTTTTTTTTTTTAATGTATTTTTTGTTTTGTTTAAAACTGCTTTTAAATAAAAGAGGGCTGGCTAGGTGCGGTGGCTCATGCCTGTAATCCCAGCACTTGGGGAGTTGAGGTGGGCAAATCATCTGAGGTCAAGGATTTGAGACCAGCCTGGTCAACATGATGAAACCCTCTCTATTAAAAATATAAAAATTAGCCGGGCATGGTTAATAAAAATTAACCAGCTACTTGGGAGGCTGAGGCATGAGAATCGCTTGAACCTGTGAGGCAGAGGTTGCAGTGAGTGGAGATTGTGCTACTGCACTCCAGCCTGTGCGACAGAGTGAGACTGTCTCAAAAAAATTTTTTTTAATTAAAAAAAAAAAGGGCTGGGTGCCATGGCTCACACCTGTAATCCCAGCACTTTGGGAAGCTGAGGTAGGTGAATCACATGAGGCCAGGAGTTTGAGACCAGTGTGGCCAACGTGGTGAAAACCCATCTCTACTAAAAATTTAAAAATTAACAGGGTGCAGTGGCAGGCACCTGTAATCCCAGCTCCTCAGGAGGCTGAGTCATGAGAATCGCTTGAACCCAGGAGGTGAGGTTGCAGAGAGCCGAGAGTATGCCACTGCATTCCAGCCTGGGCGAGAGAATGAGACTAGGTCTCAAAAAAAAAAAAAAAAAGAGGGACAGTAAGATATTTTGGGAAGAGGTAAGATAGCCCTTGTGGCAATAAAGGAGTAGCTGTCTCTACATATATTGAAGATTAGGGAGGATAAGTGATTCACTCAGGGTCATAGAACAAATGAGTGAGGCACTCAGGAAGCCAGGGATCCCCTTCCAGACATGGCTCTGGCTGTTGTTATTAGAAGAAAAGACTTCTTTTTGACTTCTTCATGCCTCCTCACTCACTCCGTTCCTGGTGCCCAAGGGAGGACCATAAACTTACCCCTTTCTGCTCATGAGTAGATGGGCAGATGAATTAGTGCATAGGCAGAAGACACAAAAGATCTGGAGATGCCTAACTGCCCCGCACCGTGTGATCATGGTCATGTCCACCCCACCCAGAGTAGGCAAGGAGAAGTGCCGCCCAGTGCTGGCCGGAGGTGGAGGCGGCTCTGCAGGCACGCCCCTGCAGCACTCCTTCCTGACCGAGGTGACTGATGTCTATGAGATGGAGGGGGGACTCCTGAACCTGCTCAATGATTTTCACTCCGGCCGGCTGCAGGCCTTCGGTGAGTCCTGGGGACCGGGCTCAGAGAGTCTGGGGATACTGTGGATAGGGCTGGAGGGCCTGGTCCTTGGGGTATGGCTGGGACCAGGGTCCAGGGTTCCAGAAATCTTTCCCAGGATTCATACAGGGCTTCATTCCAGGGAAGGAATGCTCCTTTGAGCAGCTGGAGCACGTTCGGGAGATGCAGGAGAAGCTGGCTCGGCTGCACTTCAGCCTAGACGTGTGTGGGGAGGAAGAGGATGATGAAGAGGAAGAGGATGGGGTCACTGAGGGGCTGCCGGAGGAGCAGAAGAAGACAATGGCTGACCGTAACTTGGACCAACTGCTTAGCAATGTGGGTTCATGTCTGGGTACTTTGGTTCCTGGGGTACCAGGGATGGAGAAGGTACATGCTCCCTGGGTGAAAAGGTGGGAGTACATGGATCCAAGAGCTCTGGGCCCCTCAACTTCCCCAGAAGACAGCTCCCAGAGCACTGGGGATTTGGCTTGGTGCCCCTCCTAACAGAAGCTTCCCTTTCTCTCTTTGTTGACAGCTGGAAGACCTGAGTAATTCGATGTATCCTTTCCAAGGAACCCAACTGTGTATATGTTCCTGAGAGGTCAGTTTCCTCCTCCCCAGCACCCGCCAGAGTATTCACACACAACCAACTTCCCCACCTCTTGCACTCTTGTCAGATTTAGCCAGATTGCCCAAACCCAGGTACAGGAATTTAGAATTTCCCAAAAATTAGAAGAAAAGTGGTTGCGTAGACTCAAGGGAATGACTCAAAAAAAAAAAAGAAAGAAAGAAAGAAAAGAAAAGTGGTTGCAAGGCCGGACATGGCGGCTCACGCCTGTAATCCCAGCACTTTGAGAGGGTGAGGCGGGTGGAACACGAGATCAAGAGATTGAGACCATCCTGGCCAACATGGTGAAACCCAGTCTCTACTAAAAAAAAAAAATACAAAAATTAGCTGGGTGTGGTGGTAAGCACCTGTAGTCCCAGCTGCTCGGGAGGCTGAGACAGGAGAATCACTAGAGCCCAGGAGGCAGAGGTTGCAGTGAGCCAGGATCGCGCCACTGTACTCCAGCCTGGCGACAGAGTGAGACTCTAGTTTCAAAAAAAAAAAAAAAAGTGGTTGCAGATGTTTTACTACTGATCAAAATATTTGCGAGTACTTTAGCTGACACCAGTCATGGCAAAGCTTGCCCGATGTCCCATCCTTTCAGCATGGAGCACTTATTTGTACTAATTTACACTACCACCTCACCTGGTCCTCAGTCAGAAACAGAGTGCACATATCCCAGTGTGTTTGAAGAGAGAGGGAGTGAGAGACGGCAGGCGGGGACTCCAACCTCAGTCCACAGCCCTTTGCACAGGTGAGGGAACTAAGCCCGTGCAGGATGGGAGACGGGTGGGAGGACTGGTCCAAAGCGCCACGATCCTTGACCGGCACAGCCAGAAGCTGCACCTGGCCGAGAACGCCGAGCCTGAGGAGCAGTCTGCTGCGTAGGTGTCCCACGCAGACCCACACTGGTCCTCGCATTCTCTTCAAACTGTGACTTTTTACGGACTCGGGCTGGTGTTCCGCGGCCCTCCAGGTGCTATGCGGGAGGAGGGCAATGGATGCAATTAAACCAGAGAGAAAGAAAGCGGCTCGGTGTCCTGCTTCCCGTCATTGCCTCTTTTCTCCCGGCCTCCGCGGAGACAGCCCAGCGCCGCAGGCCTTTGGTTATGGAGGTCCCGCCTGCGGGACTGGAGCCCCTTGCGGCTGTGGGAGGGGCAGTCGGGGGCTGGGGCAACGCAGGTCACCAGTCGCGAGGACGCCTCTATCCCAGACGGGAGAAGGTTGCCGTGGGGACGGCAGGGCGGGTCCCACGCCCGCGCTTGCTCGGCAGCGGCGCCGAGCAATGACGTACTGCGCAGGCGCGTGGCAGGCCTGTCGGGCCGTTGGCGCCCATGGAGAGGGAGCTGCTGATTCGGAGGGTGTTGGCGATGCAGGTGTGGGGGCGGGCGCGGGGTGCACAGGATTTTCCCTTAGGGAAATCATGGGGTCTTGTACCGGGACTTCACAGCCAGTCCCTTACCTGCGCACCAACCTTTGGAGATACCGGCCTCCCAACCGCGCTAGGGAAAGCTGGTACCCACAGACTCCCTGCCCTGCGCGCCCCCACTCCCACCACACGCTCGCGCGGAATCAGGGAAAGAGAAAGAACCTTAAGGCGAGGAGGGGCATCCAGTCCGGCATCCTCCCTCGAGCCCCCCGGAGCCCCAGCGCACAGCCCACCTATCCTTTCCCCGCCGCCGGATTCCCTCTAGCATTCGCCGGGACGTCCTGGAAGACGGTCCTCTGAGAGGCCCCTTCTCTTACCGTGATGAGGAACTTCTTCGTTCTCGTTCTCCACTCCAGGCCTGCGTCCGGGGCTGCTTGGTCCGACGCCAGTTTCAGAGCCTGCGAGCTGAGTATGAGGCGATTGTACAAGAGATCGAGGGAGACCTGGGCACGCTTCAGTGGACCGAGGGCCGCATTCCCAGGCCACGATTCCTCCGAGAGGTAGGACACACCTAGGAGAGAAGGGAAGGAGGGATTGGGCAGAGTGGAGCCCACCCTTCCCGGTGACAAGGTTTTGTCATTAGAAGAGGCAGCAGATGCACCTTCTCACACCCTAGTCCTTAACCCTCACCAGCTTGTCTGCCAGATCCTGGTGCCCAGATACTTGGAAGGGTTAAGCCCCGGACTTTCACATCTCTCTAATTTCTCAGAAGGCAAAATCCCATCAGACCTGGAGAGCAGGAGACAGAGTAGCAAATCCGGAGCAGGAGCTGTGGAACCACGTCCCGTGTAAAGAGTCTGAGGGAGAGGCCACCTGGGAGGAGATGGTGCTGAAGAAGTCAGGAGAGAGCTCAGCAAACCAAGGAAACCTCTGCAGAGATCACAGCCCCTGGCTTCAGATGGAGCAGAACAGGAAACTCAGCCAAGAGGAGACCAGAGACGCGACAAGGATGGAGACTCCAGGTACCTCTCTGCCAAGATCAGGGCAAGCCCTTGACCCTCTCTGTGCCTCAGCCTCTATCTGAAGAGTGAAAGGCTTGTGCTAGATAAGCTGCATTTCCCATCTTCTCTCTGCCTGGTTAGGGCTACCACATGGTTGGGCAGTGTTGGGGAGGGAGATTCCAAAGTCTAAGGCTAGGCCATTTCCTGGGCTCTGCTCCCTCAAGGTTTTCTCCTTATTTCCTTCCCTCCTTCACAGAAGCCACAGATCCAAGACTGTCATGCAGCCAACCTGAGCTTCAAGAGCTTCAGTACCACCGCAGCCACCTGGCCATGGAATTGCTCTGGCTGCAACAGGCCATCAATAGCCGTAAGGAGGTAGCACTAACCTGGAACTCTTTCTGAACATTTAGGGTCAAGGGTGGGGGTTAGGGAGAGACCTCCTGCTATGCCCAAGCAGACCTGCTTGGTACAGTGTATGTTCTCTTCCCCCAACAGTACCTAATTCTCAAACAAACACTGAGATCCCCAGAAGCAGGACCGATCAGAGAGGAGCCCAGTGTGTGCCCAGAACATGGGAAAAAAGCCTGTGAGAGGAACCAGTCACAACCAAGCACACCACTGGAGGACCAGTCCTACAGAGACAGGACCACTGGAGAGCTAGAACAGGAGGATGACTCCTGCCAGAGGGTCAGATCACCCCACAAATCCCCAGGAAGTCAAGCCAGTACACAAAAAACCACTGCTGGGGCTAAATGCAGAGAACCATGCTTCAGCAGGGCTGGACCACTGTTGTCAATACCATCAAACAGCCAGGCTCTGGGGGACAGGCTCACCAAAGGGCCAGATGTTGGAAGACAGACCTTTGGAGGCACCTGCCTGCTGCAGATGAAAATCCTGGAGGACCAGACCCCCAGAAGCTTAAAACCTAGGGAACATTGTCCCAGGAAGTCCAGGACACAGCTGCCTGCACTCTGTGAGGCCACATATAATAAAGAGACATCTCCCAGAAAACTAGACCACAAAGAGCCTGACTGCCGAACAGTCAGGACACAAGAGTTGGGCCTCTCAGAGGACCACATCATCTCAGATGGGACCTTGTCAGGGTCAGAGCATGGTGGCCTTGATCTCTGGAGGACTAAACCACCTAAGATCAGACCCTTAGAGATAGAAGCTCCAGACATGGAACCTCCAATGAGCCTAGTCACGAAGGACAGAAAAACCAGAGGACTGTACCATGGAGATCAAAGTCACCTAAGATCCTGTCTTCCACAGGGGCAGGCTGTACAGGAAAGGAACAGTGGAGGGGCAGGCCATGGAAAACAGGACCACCTGGCTAGACCCTGGGAAGCCAGGAGAGGACCAAGTTCCAACGGGGAATGCTATGAAAGGGCAGAGAGGACAAGACCTCATCCTACCTCCCTGGTACCAGCTCTGCCTTGTGCCCCTGCCCCTGGCATCAGTGGCTAGTGGGGCCAAGAGAAGCTGGAGCAGAGAGCTGGCATGAGTATAAGGAAGGAGGAAGGACACACTTTCAATCTTCTGCTTATGGCTCAATCCAAATTTCTGGATAAGGCACTGGGCGTGGTGGCTCACACCTGTAATCCCAGCACTTTGGGAGGCTGAGGCCAGTGGATCACCTGAGGTCAGAAGTTTGAGACCAGCCTGACCAACATGCTGAAACCCCATCTCAACTAAAAATATAAAAATTAGATGGGTGTGGTGGCATATGACTGTAGTCCCAGCTACTTCGGAGGCTGAGACAGAAGAATTGCTTGAACCCAGGAGGTGGAGGTTGCATTGCAGTGAGCCAAGATCGTGCCACTGCACTCCAGCCTGGGTGAGAGAGCGAGACACTGTCTCAAAAAACAAAACAAATTTGTGGCTACCTGGGGGAAGTGGAATGGGAGACCTGTTGGAAATAAAGGTTTTTCTTAGATTCTGAGCCTGGCTGATTTCATCTTCTGCTTCTGGCCAGGACAGGCTCTGGGCCCTGCTTTTCACTTCCTACTGGCATGGGGCATTGATCCCAGAGCCAGCTGGGAGCCACAGTCCAGGAACAGATCTAGCCATCCTCCTTAGGGAACAACCCCTGAAGCTGATCCCCCATTGAGCTCAGCCTTGTGCTTTAGAGTCGCAAGGAGGCTCTGCTGAGTAAGGAACACTTATGTTTAAGTGTGATCTCCCCAGGGCAGATTGGATGAAACCCTGAATGCAGATAAAAATGCTCCTGCCAGAGGCTCCCTCTGCCTTCCTGAGTGAGAGGGCTGGACTCCACCTCTGATTGGCACCGTTCCCAGCCCTTCCTTGGTTGCCTGGCAACAGCTCTGTGTATCTGACTGAGACTACACTATGGCGACTGGCCGTCCAGCAGCCAAGAGGGTCATGGTGTACCGGAATGGGGACCCCTTCTTCCCAGGCTCCCGGCTGGTGGTGAATCAACGCTGCTTCCCCACCATGGAGGCCTTCCTCTGCGAGGTGACATCAGCCGTGCAGGCCCCACTGGCTGTGCGTGCTCTCTACACTTGTCATGGCCACCCTGTCACTGACCTGGCAGACTTGAAGAATGGAGGGCAGTATGTGGCCGCTGGCTTTGAACGATTCCACAAGCTCCAGTGAGTGGCTGGGGCTGATCAAAGAGCCTAGTGAGGGAGGTAACAGCAGTAGCAAGAACGTGTATTCAGTACGTACCACGTATGTACTGGCACATTACCGGTACTCACTGAACTCTATGGGGCTGGGGGGTTGCCTCCATTAGAAAGGGAAAACAGGCTGGGCGCGGTGACTCAAGCATATAATCCCAGCACTTTGGGAGGCTGAGGCGGGTGGATCATGAGGTCAAGAGATCGAGACCATCCTGGTCAACATGGTGAAACCCCGTCTCTACTAAAAATACAAAAAATTAGCTGGGCATGGTGGCGTGTGCCTGTAATCCCAGCCACTCAGGAGGCTGAGGCAGGAGAATTGCCTGAACCCAGGAGGCAGAGGTTGTGGTGAGCCAAGATCATACCATTGCACTCCAGCCTGGGTAACAAGAGCGAAACTCTATCTCAAAAAAAAAAAAAGAAAAAAAAGAAAGGGAAAACAGACGAGCCGGGTGCGGTGGCTCATGCCTATAATCCTAGCACTTTGGGAGGCTGAGGTGGGTGGGTCACCTGAGGTCAGGAGTTCAAGACCAGCCTAGCCATCATGGCGAAACCCCATCTTTTAAAAAAGAAAGCAAGAAAAAAGAAAGCAAGAAAGAAAAGAAAGGGAAAACAGACAAAAAAATCTGCCTAAGAGTACACAATAGTTGAACTGAAATTCAAATAGAATTGTGTGTGTTACTAATGATCACAGCCAAGATCAGCCTGTGGGAAGACCACTCTCCTGCAGGTTGAGCCCCATTTTCCAAAAGCTTTTTTTTTTTTTTTTTTTGAGACGGAGTTTCACTCTTGTTACCCAGGCTGAAGTGCAATGGCGCGATCTCAGCTCACTGCAACCTCGTCTCCTGGGTTGAGGCAATTCTCCTGCCTCAGCCTCCTGCATAGCTGGGATTACAGGCACGCACCACCATGCCCAGCTAATTTTTTGTTTTTAGTAGAGATGGGGTTTCACCATGTTGACCAGGATGGTCTTGATCTCTTGACCTCGTGATCCACCTGCCTTGGCCTCCCAAAGTGCTGGGATTACAGGCTTGAGCCACCGTGCCCGGCCCCAAAAGCTTTTCTTGCTTGGACCCTCTAACATCACCAAACACTCCAAATCCACCCATCCATTCCTCCCGACTGTGCTTAGGTATCTCAGACTCTGCCGTTAGGCTAGGATCATCCCCCATTACAGGAGAAGACTCTTCCAGGTGAGAGAAGAGTTTGAGTATCTGAGTCTGACACATGTCTGGCTTCCAGGTCCTACTCTTGGCTCTCAGCTGAGGTTGTTTACTATTAATGTAAGGACCAAGAAGGGCAAGTGGCTGGGCAAGGTGGCTCATCTCTGTAATCCTAGCACTTTGGGAGGCTGAAGCAGGTGGATCACCTGAGGTTAAGAGTTTGATAACAGCCTGGCCAATGTGGCAAAACTCTGTCTCGACTAAAAATACAAAAATTAGCCGGGTGTTGTAGCAGGTGCCTGTAATCGCAGCTACTCAGGAGGCTGAGGCAGGAGAATTGCTTGAACCTGGGAGGCAGAGGTTGCAGTGAGCTGAGATCGCACCACTGTACTCCCACCCGGGTGACAGAGTGAGACTCTGTGTAAAAAAGAAAAAAAGGTGGGGTGGGGCGTGCAAACCTAGGTAGACTTAGAATCCAGGCTTCATCCCTTATTTCTTGTGTGACTTTGGGCAAGTCACTTAATTTCCTGGAGTTTCATACAAAATGGAGATAAAATGACCTATTTCAGGAATGAAAACATTCTTGGGATATAGCAGGATGCATAATGCACTAGTTTCTAGTTTCTCGTTTTTTTTTTTTTTTTAGACAGGGTCTTGCTCTGTCCAGGCTAGAGTGCAATGCAGTGACACGATCACTCACTGCAGCCTCGAACTCCAGAGTTTACGCAGTCCTCCTGCCTCAGCCTCCAAAGTAGCTAGGCCCACAGGTGCATGCCGCCATGCCTGGCTAATGTTTGCTTTCGGTAGCAATGAGGTTGCCCAGGCTGATCTCAAACTCCTGGGCTCAAGTTATCTTCCTGCCTCAGCTTCCCATAGAGCTGGAATTACAGGTGTGAGCTGCCATGTCCTTGACCTTTAATCTCATGGTTAGTATCGAGACACCTGTCTGGATTTCCAGACTTACCCAGCACTTGCCACGGTAGCACTTGAACACTGAAGGAGTCCTAGGACAGGTTCAAGTGCCAATATATGTTTCTGGACTGAGATGATTGCCACTATTCCATGGGGAGGGTACAGTGAGCTGTACCCCAGCCCAATACTGACATTTGCCAGACTGTTGAGGCCTCAGGCTCCACGAGATGACCTGTGACCTCTCTGTCCTTTCAGCTATTTACCCCATGGAGGGAAGGATCCAGGTGGGAAGAGCTGCAGACTACAAGTGAGTCCTGGGGACCTGTCCCCCAGCCCCTCTGTCTTCCCATTCCTCCGGGAACTACCCTTAATTTGGTTTGGGAAGCCAGGGAAGGAGCAAGATCTGCCAGTTCTATGGGGGTACTTTGGAGCCAGCTGCTATCCTTCCTGTGGTGTGGGATTTTAAGACACTATTTCTTGCTTCTGTCCCAGGCTTTGACTTTATCTCCTAATTGTGGTTTCCAAAGGAAAGAGGAAGCTGTGAAACACAGATGGGGAGAGGGGGTGGCTAGAATGTAACTTAGGGAACATAGAAGCAACTTTTGGTGAAAGGTGTGACCTGTCTTATCCCTCCTCACCCACTTCCTGTCCCAGTCTGGTTCCAGCCCCCTCACTCCACACTTTGAACAGACCCAGCCCTAACCAAAGGCCCCAACTCTCCTGATTTGGAGGCCTGACTTGGGTTTCAGGGTTCTCCGGTGACTCGCCACCTGTGTGATGGGCCCCTTGGACTGCGGCTGCCTGCAGGTGCTCCCTGCTACATCCAGTGAGTGCCAGTGTCAGGGAGCAGGGGTGTATTTTTTAATGAGACCAAGAAAATGGTGTTGCGTTTGTTCCAGGAGTCTCTGGTTACTGGTGAGAATGTAGAAGTTCAGCATGTTTGATGGGTGAACAGACACCAGTGCTATGGTTATCACTGGACTTGTGCCACCCTTCCCCTCACATGTAGGGACTCCTGTGTCCTGGGGACACTCCCCCTTACCAGGCTTTTTGTCTCAGTGTGTTCAGGAATGGGGACCTGGTAAGTCCCCCATTTAAACTGAAGCTGCCCCAGACTGCCAGCCAGGATTGGGAAACTGTGTTGAAGCTCCTGACTGAGAAGGTCCAGTTGCAGAGTGGGGCTGTGTGCAAGTGAGTATGGGGGCTGGGAGGGCTCACCAGTCCCCAAAGAGAGCCTCCCCACTGGCTTCAGCTGTGGCTGAGGGTGAGGAGGCAAAAGGAAAGCATATTCGCCTACATGGGACTTCCTTGCATGACACGGGGAGAGGACCCTCTGCCCAGTCCTCAGAGGCAGGGTAGAGCCTGGATGACTGGTGCAGAGGCTAGAGGGCATCTTGGAATAGCTGCACTCACCCCTCAGTCTGCTGAATGTGAAGCAGCATTGCATCTACCAGCCCTTATCCTGCTCACCTCTCTCTCCCAGACTCTGCACCATGGAGGGGCTCCCACTGTCAGCAGGGGAGGAGCTGGTAAGTGGCCATTACTATGTGGCCGTTGGAGAGGATGAGTTCAAGGCCCTCCCCTATCTGGAGCTGCTGGTGCCCAGCCCTTCCCTGCCCAGGGGCTGCTGGTATGTATGTGGGAGGTGGAGGGGTAACAGGCTGGGCAGAGGAAGCCACCCCTGGGACTGTGTGCTTTGACTCCATGCCCTCAGCCCACTACAAGCCTTTCCTTTTGTTGTTGTAGGCACCCTCCAGACTCGAAGTCTAGGGCCCACAGGCAGGGGGTAGGTGACACAGGGTACAGTGTGGGGTGGGAATGGGAGTGACTATCTGACAACTCTTCTGGCACAGGCTCTGACCTTATTTCACTGTATCCTATTTTTTTGTTTTTTTTTGAGACCGAGTCTCACTCTGTTGCCCAGGTTGGAGTGCAGTGGCATGATCTTGGCTCACTGTACCTCCACCTCCCAAGTTCAAGTGATTCTCCTGCCTCAGCCTCCCAAGTAGCTGGGCTTACACATCCCTGCCATCACACCTGGTTAACTGCATTCTTTTTTCGTTTATTTTGAATATAGAGATGAGTCTCACTGTTGTCCAGGCTGGTCTTGAACTTCTGGACTCAAGTGATCCTGCATCCTCTTAATCTTTTTTTGGCCGGGTGCGGTGGCTCACGCATGTAATCCCAGCACTTTGGGAGGCCGAGGCGGGTGGATCACGAGGTCAAGAGATCGGGACCATGCTGGTCAACATGGTGAAACCCCGTCTCTACTAAAAATACAAAAAATTAGCTGGGCACGGTGGCGGAGGTTGCGGTGAGCCGATATCGCGCCATTGCACTCCAGCCTGGGTAACAACAGCGAAACTCAGTCTCAAAAAAAAAAAAAATATATATATATATTTTTTTTTTGAATATATTTTTTTTTTGAGACGGAGTTTTGCTCTTGTTGCCCAGGCTGGAGTACAATGGTATGAGCTCAGCTCACCAAAACGTCTGCTTCCTAGGTTCAGGCAATTCTCCTGCCTCAGCCTCCTGAGTAGCTGGGATTACAGGCATCTGCCACCACGCCCAGCTAATTTGTTGTATTTTAAGTAGAGACAGGATTTCTCATGTTGGTCAGGCTGGTCTTGAACTCCCGACCTCAAGTGATCCACCCACCTTGGCCTCCCCAAAGTGCTGGGATTATAGGCATGAGCCACCGCATCAGGCCCCTTTTAATAATCTTGTGAAAGAAAGATTATCCACATTTTCCAGAGGTGGAAACTGAAGCTCAAAACAGTGAAGTGGGCTGGGCGTGGTGGCTCACGCCTGTAATCCCAGCACTTTGGGAGGCTGAGGAGGGTGGATCACCTGAGGTCAGGAGTTCAAGACCAGCCTGACCAACATGGTGAAACCCCATCTCTACTAAAAATTACCTGGGCATGGTGGCATGTGCCTGTAGCCCTAGCTGCTCAGGGGGCTAAGGCAGGAGAATCACTTAAACCCTGGAGGCAGAAGTTGCAGTGAGCCAAGATCTTGCCACTGCACTCCAGCTTGGGCAACAGAGTGAGACTTGGTCTCAAAAAAAGGCGGTGGTGGGCCGGGTGCAGTAGCTCACACCTGTAATCCCAGCACTTTGGGAGGCCGAGGAGGGTGGATCACCTGAAGTCAGGAATTTGAGACCAGCCTGACCAACATGGAAAGATCCCGTCTCTTTAAAAAAAAACAAAAAACAAAAAAAACGCGGTGGTTCACACCTGTAATCCCAGTAGTTTGGGAGGCTGAGGCGGGTGGATCACAAGGTCAGGAGTTCAAGACCAGCCTGACCATCATGGTGAAACTGGTTTCTACTAAAAATACAAAAATTAGCAGGACGTGGTGGCGTGTACTTGTAATTCCAGCTACTCGGGAGGCTGAGGCAGGAGAATCATTTGAACCTGGCAGGCAGAGGTTGCAGTGAGCCAAGATAGAGCCACTGCACTCCAGCCTGGGTGACAGAGCGAGACTCCGTCTCAAAAAAAAAAAAAAAAAAGAAAGTCATTTGTTCAGAGTGACACAGTATTGAGGTGTCAGACCAGAACTCAGGTCTTCAGGACTCTGATTTGTAGAACTTAATGCCTTTTTGCTAGGTTGGACACTGGGAGAGAGAATTGGCATATTTGGCACAGTAGGGCCTAAGGGAACTTATTCCAGGCCTAAGTCCTCCCAAGAAATGAGCCAGTGAGCATGGGGCATGGCAGTGGGGGTGGGGGAGCACAGCCTGGTTTCACTGGGCATCAAGGAGTTCCAGGCACCAACTGCTCTGTCCCTGGATAAGGCAGGCTGATGGGAAGAGGCAGCAAGGAGGGAGGATGTAGGTTGTGAAGACAGATGGCATCTCCTTTGCCATGTTCCTGCATGTGTCAGGGGCTCTCTAAGGCCTCAGTTGGGGAGTAGAAAAGGTAAGACTGGCCAGCAACCAGGTTCCAAACCCAGTGTCCTTTCTATAGGCCCAAGGCCGCAGGGCACAGGTAACCCAGCCCTCTCCAAAGGAACTAGACCAAATTGAGCCATCCACTTTCTATGCCAGACCCCAGAAGACCATTCATCCAAGAAGCAAGCCCTTAAAATCTCATTCCCATCAGGTGAGGGGCCCCTGGGGCTCAGGCCCTTCTCAGCTGCCCTTTGATAGTGACATAGGTTGGTCCTTGATATTGTTGGGGATGTCCATGGGAGCAGAATGCCCAGACACAAAGCTGGCACTGAAAAAAGAAAGAAAAGATAAAGGAGTTTGAGCCTACTGGCTCAGGAGACTGCCCATAACAAAAAAAAAAGGCTGGCCCTGACCTCATCATAACTGTCTCCAGCTCCCCCATCTGCATATCCTGTCCCTTCTTCACAGGCCTTGTCACACAAAAAGAAGCGCCTGGAAAGGGCAGTGCTTAAAGCGATGAGACTTCAGGGGTGGGATTTAGAGGGGATGGGGATGGGACCAAAGGCCCACCTCTCACTTCCCTGCCATCCTGGGAGGTGGTGGGGAAGGCAGAACCAGGTTCAGGGGAGGGAAAGGGGCTGGCATGAAGGTCCAGGGCAGGAATGCTGAGGGCTCTTCAGCCTGGCCATCAGCCAACACTGCCTCCCTCTTTAGGAGTTACCGATATATATGGGGCTCCCCACCGAAGAAAGGAGACAGCAGGGGCCCAGGAAGTAGCAGATGATGAAGACGCCCAGAGGAGCCCTTGGATCAGGTAACCTGTTGGATCCGTAAAAAGTATATTGGAATGGGAGGAGTTCTGAGCTGGAAACTAGCAGCCTGGGGCCCCAGGAACAGTTCTCCTCTTTTGTGATTGAAGGCAAATGGATCTCCTAACTTTCTACCTTGTTAAATGAGGAAGCAGTTCCTAATTTCCAGTGTCTTCCTTTCTTGGGGTCAGGACCTCCCGGCTGAGAGCTGGAGGCTGGCCACTTCCACTTCCTCCAGAGGGCAGCACAGATAGTGAAAGAGGCCTTGTCCCTGGAAAACCAGCCTGGGGCTGGAGCTGCTATCTCAGCCTCAGCCCCTGCTCTGCCATCTTGAGAGCCCACAGCTCCAGAGAACTGGGGACTACCACTCTGGCCATCTTTTGTCCTCAGCCTCCAGCAGCTTGTTCCTCAGGAGCCACCACCTCCCCTGGGCTCACAGGGTACACTGCAGCCTCCTTAGCCCTCCCCATTCTGCTCCTACACCCACCGCCCAGCCTTCCCTTCCTCTGAGCAGGGCAGCCCTGGCTGTGGGGGCTACTTCCTTATGGGATTCTCTGGCCAGAGAAAGTAGCTGGCTGAGCCTGGAAGAGGCCACAAACGTGGGAGCAGGTTTGTCACAATAAAATAGTAATGTATTAACCTCTGTCTACCACAGATTTATTGACAGCTACTACTCTCCAGGTGTTGTGCTGGGTGCTGGAGTTAGGTGGCGCTGGGGCTCACAGCTGCTACCTGTTTAAGAGAGGCTGGCAGTGAGGATTTCTGTCCACCTCATGGGTGGGGCAGGCAAGGCTAATAGCTCATCTCCTGCATCTGCCACTCTGAGGCACCTTCCTCCCCTCAGTTCCACCCCTCAGTCAGCCAAGGCGCTCTGACTGAGCCCTGGAGGCCTCCTGTTTGCTTTCTGGCTTGGTCTGTAGCTGGCCTTTTCCATGCAGCTGGGGTTCTGCAGTCCATGGAAACTGCCACCATGATAGTCCAGATTAGGCCACATAATGGTGGCTTAACTGGGGGCCTGAGATGACAGCAGGAAGAGAGATGCTGGGGCAGAAAGGTTGCTGAGGGTGAAGCGTCGAGTCTCCTGTGCTAAATCCCAGTAGGTGAACAGCACTTGAAGGTTATAAAACCCTTTCACTCTTGTTCTCTTATTGTGATCCATGAGGTAACTGTTATCCCCATAAGAGGAGGAAGCTGAGGCCAGAGATGGGAGGTGCTAGGTCCATCTGCTCACTGCCAGCACTTCATGGCCCAGGGGCTTCCAGGAGGCAGCAGAGCTGGAAATGGGTTCGGCCCACTCAAAGGGTAGACGGTTGCCCCTGGGTCTTACTCACTGAGCTTGTGATGCAGAGTGAAATTCCTGTCACGGTGAGCACCATGCCAGCGACTGCTCCTGGGATAATGGACAGAAATCAAGGGGTTCTGAGCTCAGCCATGCCAATAAGAGCTGGTACAGGGCTGTAAGAAGGGCTCAGATGGGGTCTGGTCCTGGGTCCCACCCCAGCCTCTGTCCCCAGACTGTCCAGGGGAAGGGAACTCTGATGGCCACAAGGAAGCAGGACAGCTGCAGAGGAAAAGGCAGGATGGGAAGAGGCCCTGTCCTCACCCATTCCAGGGAGATGGGTTCTGGGAAGGAACACAGGTATGTTGAGGCCCAGATAGCTGCATCCCACATTCGCAGTAGCCTGACTTACGTTTTCCACCAATATCTTCTCCAAGGGCCTTCCCAACAATCAGTGTGAAGATGATGGCCAGAGAATTACAGATGGGTACAGCTAGGGTCAGATCTGGGTGGTCAGAATGAAAAGAATCCCTGAGATGCAACAAATGCTTTTTTTTTTGAGATGGAGTTTTGCTGTTGTTACCCAGGCTGGAGTGCAATGGCGCCATCTCGGCTCACTGCAACCTCGGTCTCCTGGGTTCAAGCAATTCTCCTGCCTCAGCCTCTGGAGTAGCTGGGACTACAGGCGTGCACCACCATGCCCAGCTAATTTTTGTATTTTTAGTAGAGATGGGGTTTCACCTTGTTGACCAGGATAGTCTCGATCTCTTGACCTTGTGATCCACCCGCCTCGGCCTCCCAAAGTGCTGGGATTATAGGCGTGAGCCACCGTGCCCAGCCAAGAAATGCCTTTCTAAACACAAGACACTTCCCATCATCATCATTTCATATATTTAAAGAAGGTATTATAACCCCATCTTCCAGATGAAGTCACAGCACATTTCAGGATTCAGACCCAAATATTCTGACTCCATGTTCAGTGGTTCCCCAGGATTCCAGCATTCCCCAGGATTCCTGAACTCTGAGGTCTGATACCAGCCTGGTTTGATAATGAGAATGAGGTCTTTGCACTCAAAAAGAACTTGTGAAATTTCAAGGACATCTGGACACGTAGGCAGGCACCCAAATCCCAAAGGATGCAGTAGAGAGTCAAGTAACACCAAGCACAGTCACCATCTATTTTTTTCTTTTCTTTGAGACAGAGTCTTGCTCTGTCACCCAGGCTGGACTGCAGTGGTGTGATCTTGGCTCACTACAGCCTCTGTCTCCTGGATTCAAGGGATTCTCATGCCTCAGACTCCTGAGTAACTGGGATACAGGTGCCTGCCACCATGTCGTGCTAATTTTTCCATTTTTAGTAGAGATAGGGTTTCGCCATGTTGGACAGGCTAGTCTCAAACTCCTGACCTGAGGCGATCCGCCCACCTCAGCCTCCCAAAATGCTGGGATTACAGGTGTGAGCCCCAACACCTGGCCATGTAGCCACCATTTATTAAGCATATACCATGGCCTAGGTGCTCTTTGTACATATTTCAATTTTCATAACACTGCAAGGAAGGGATTATCACCATTTTGCATAAAGGAAACTAAGGCAAGTTGAGGATTTAAACTGAGGTTTGTCTGACTCCAAGGTCTGCACTCTTATTGAATTAAATGGATATGGACAAAGCAGAACATCAGCTGAAGCACATTTTGTTTGTTTCAGCCCAAGCTCAGGCTTTATGGAGTTAAAAATAAAAGAAAGTGTCAGAAGAAAGAAGCCTGGTACCTGTTCAGGACATTGGGCTGGACCTATGGTGTGGATAGAGGGTATCATAGCTCAGGATCTGTTCTTTAATTTTGAAGTTCCAGGGGGCTGACTGCCAATAAGCAAACTTGAAAAAGAGTAATGGAGTTGGCTGGGTGTGGTGGCTCATGCCTGTTAATCTCAGCACTTTGGGAGGTGAAGGTGGGAGGACTGCTTGAGGTCAGGAATTCCAGACCAGCCTGGCCAACATGCTAAAACCCCATCTCTACTAAAAATACAAAAAACTATGAAGGAACAAAGCAGGCACCAAAAAAAAAAAAAAAAAAAAGAAAAAAAATACAAACATTAGCCAGACTTGCTGGCACATAATCCCAGCTACTTGGGAGGCTAAGGCATGAGAAGTGCTTGGATTCAGGAGAAGGAGGTTGCAGTGAGTCGACATCAAGCCACTGCACTGCAGCCTAGGCGACAGGGCCAGACTCCATCAAAAAAAAAAAAAAGAGGGGAGAAAAGAAAAAGACTAATGGAGTTAACTTAAAATTTGTTGAGGGTAGATCTCCTGTTAAGTGTCCTTATCACATTAAAAAAAGAGCCACATACATATAAAAAAAGACCAACAGACAAATCAGCTGAGTTATCCATGGTAACAAGACTCAACTGCAGACCAGATGCTCACACTGGCTCCTCAGCACCCTCTTTCCCAGCACTCCCAGGCCTTGCCTTTGTGAGGCAGAGAAGGGAACTGTCCTGCTCCTCATCCCCTGGGAGACCCCGGCATAGAGGCATTACCCATCTAAGAAATTGATATAACAACCCCACCTACAAAGAGTTGTTTTTGTTGTTGTTGTTTTTCATTTTTGTTGTTTTTGAGACAGGGTCTCACTCTGTTATTCAGGCTGGAAGTGCAGTGGTGAGGTCACTGTTCACTGCAGCCTCAACCTCCTGAGCTCAAGTGATCCTCCCACCTCAGCCTCCTGAGCAGCTGGGACTACAGGCACAGACGACCAAGCTCGGGTAATTTTTGTATTTTTGTTGTTGTTACTTAGGCTGGGCTCCTAGGCTCAGGTTATCTGCCCACCTGAGCCTCCCAAAGTGCTGGAATTACAGGCCTGAGCCACTGTGCCTTGCCCAGAGCTGCCTTCTTAAGTTTACATACCTTACAAGGAGTGTCATGGCTGTTAAGGTCTGGTTTGCAGCAGTAGATGAGGGAAGGAAGCAGCATGGTGCAATGGGAGAGTGAGGGCATCAGAGTGAGGCAGATCTGAGTTTCCCTTGTAATCTTGGTTAGGATATTCAAACACTTACCTTGTTTCCCCACATGTAAAATAGTGATCGCAGTATACCATTTCTTTTGTTGGGTTGTTGTAAGATGAACTGTGATAATGCATGGATAGTCCCTGGCTAAAGTGGATGCTTCATAAATAGTGACTATTATTCTGGTTATTAGAAAGGATGGATATTCAAGGATATAGGCAGAGAGGGTGATGAAATAAAAAGATCCTAATATTGTAATGTGATTAAAACTTGGTGAATGGCTGACTTGTAGTCAGCTGGCCAAGAGTTCAGCATTTTTCCACAGCAGTGAATGCATGAGCCCAGAGGCTTTCAAATTCTTTTTTTTTTTTTTTTCAGACAAGAGTTTTGCTCTTGTCGTCCAGGCTGTAGTACACTTGCGGTGATCTCAGCTCACCGCAAGCTCCGCCTCCTGGGTTCAAGCGATTCTCCTGCCTCGGCCTCCGAGTAGCTGGGATTACAGGCATGCACCACCATGCCCAGCTAATATTGTATATATATATTTTTTTAGTAGAGATGGGGTTTCACCATGTTGGCCAGGATGGTATTGATCTCCTGAACTCATGATCTGCCTGCCTTGACCTCCCAAAGTGCTGGGATTACAGGCATGAGCCACCATGCCCGGCCAAGCCACCAAGCCTGGACTGCAACTTCATTTTCTAAGATAAAGGAAATTTATGTATATGGAGCCCTGTGCGCCAGGCACTCTCCTAGATGTTTTTCATTCATTCATTTCTTTTTTTTTTTGAGATGAAGTCTTTCTAGAGATAGAACCAGTAAGTTACAAAGGAAAAAAAAAAGGAGAAAAAAAGATGATGTCTCGCTCTGTCGCCCAGGCTGGAGTGCAATGGCGTGATCTTAGCTCACTGCAACCTCCACCTCCTGGGTTCAGACGATTCTTCTGATTCTTCTGCCTCAGCTTCCTGGTAGTGGGGATCACAGGTGCACCACCACGACGCCTGGCTATTTTTAAAAAATTTTTAGTAGAGATAGGTTTCACCATGTTAGCCAGGCTGATCTTGAACTCCTGACCTTGTGATCCTCCCACCTCAGCCTCCCAAAGTGCTGGGATTAAATTTAATCCTCACAATCCTATGAAACCAACTGTATAAAACCAAAGCTCAGGCTGGGTGTGGTGGCTCACACCTGTAATCCCAGCACTACTAAAAATACAAAAAGAAAAAAAAAAAAAAACCACCTCTACAAAATTACAAAATTAGCTGGGCATGGTGGCGCATGCCTGTAATCCCAGCTACTTGGGAGGCTGAGGCAGGAGAATCACTTGAACCCGGGAGGCGGAGATTGCAGTGAGCTGAGATAGTGCCATTGCACTCCAGCCTGGTCCACAAGAGTGACACTGTCTCAAAAAACAAAAACAAACAAAAAACCAAAGCTCAAATGAGGGACTTGCTCATGGTCAGGCAGGTAGCACAGAGTGGAACCAAGAGTGTGAAAGCCAGCACTTGGCACAGCAGAATGAACCTTCCTTCTTCGTCCGCTGTCACACAAGACTGCCAGGCTTCAAACCAACCCCAGTGCCTAGCAACATACTCAGAACCAGCCCACTGTGCCCTTCTTGTTCAGAGAAGAGGACACTAGGAGGGAACTAAGACTAGTCAGCCCTCTCTGACTGATGGGAATGAGGTGTTTCAAGCTCCACCCAACAAATCACTCTTCCAGGTGGCCTCAAACACTAAGCAGAACAGTTCCAAGCCAGGACCCACCTGTCGATGCCAAGGTGAGGTAATAGAGAAGAGAGCCACACTGGTTGAGGAGAAAGGGCATCAGGTACTGGAAAGAGGAGAAACCTGCATCAGTGTGAAGGCCTGAATGAGCAGCACTGCCTTCTTTGAGCTTCTAGCCTATGCCTTTTCTTAGAGGGAGTGAGGGTTATAAGACCCAGAGAACATTAGGCCCTCTAAGGAGGACCCTTCCAGGACAAAGAGGGAAACAGACTGAACTCTGTGCCTCTGCTCAAACTTCCCTCTCCCTCACCTCTGTTGGTTCCTATCCTGCAAGGCCCTGAGACCAATGTCAGCCCCTCCAGGAAGCCTTCCCCAAGTCCTCCATATACAGCCTCCCTCCTCTGAACTCCTCCCCTGCAGGGCCAATTTGAGCCCCAAGCCCTCCCTCTGGAAAGGCTCACAAATGTTGCCTTTCATAACTGGAGGAATCACAATAATAAAATATGAACAATGGTAGCCATAGATAGAGCACTTACTATGTTCTAGGCCCAATGCTAAGTGCTCTGTGTATCTCACCTAATTCCCGCAACTGCCCTATCAGATGTTTATTATTATAATCGCCATTTACAGATGATGAAACTGAAGGACAAGTGACTCTGGAGAGTTTCTAGTAAGTAGTGGGGCTGACACAGACCTGTTTGACCCCAAAGACCAAATTCTTGGCGGCAACTCCCCTTTGAGAGGGGACTTTCACAGACGCACCTCAATATTCAAGAAGAGGGTCTTCATCTCCTGTAGCAACTGTCGGGCCCAGGTCGGCTCATGAATCCGCTGCAGGCCTGCAGAGGCTCGCTTCAGCAGCGGCTGCGTGCCACCCCACAGAGCGGCCACCAGCACCAGAGCCAGCACCTGCCCTGAATGCAGACGACTGAGTCACCCTGATCCCCACCCCAAACGGCCGCCCCGTCCGCTCCGCCCGCTCCAGGCTTCCTATCCCCAGCTAGCCGACCCCACTTCCCTCCTTCGCTCTCTTAGCTTCGGCTGCGACTGGCGGCTAGGGAAGGCCCCGGGAGGCTGGGGAGATGAATCCAGGAGTCCGGCTCTGGGGTTGTAGCAGGGATTGGGGTTGGAGCGGGGGACGTGGAGCAGGAAATGAATTCGAAGTGAGGGTCGAGAAATCCATGAAGGGGCGGGGCCGGCTACCTACCCAGAGACGCCGCCATGGTAACGCTGCTGTCTTCTACTTCCGGGAGCGAGGGGGCGGAGACCCACAATCCGGAAGTGGTTCCAAAGCCTTTTCCGGTACTACTCACGTTGCGGCCTTCGTGTCATCGCCGGGATGGTGAGTTCTAGAGTTGGGGATACTGCAGTGGGGGTCCTGGTCTGAGGCCGGTACCCAATTCTGGGCACTGACGTTACCGTCTTGTCCCCACAGAAGCCGATCCTGCTGCAGGGCCATGAGCGGTCCATTACGCAGATTAAGTATAACCGCGAAGGAGACCTTCTCTTTACTGTGGCCAAGGACCCTGTGAGCGTCGGCTGAAAGGAGGGCTCGGGAGGGGGCCCGGAAGGGGCGAGTTCCTTATGCCAGGACCTTCCTTAGGAAGATGGGTGGACATGCCAGTTTTGCCGATTGGGGGAATCAAAGAAACGGCCCATTTTGAGATGTAGGGAGAAGACATCCCGGGGGTAGGTTGGGAGAGTACCGGACAAAGTGGGGGAGCACTCGTTTGGCCGAGTGCAGTGGCTCACGCCTGTAATCCCAACACTTTGTGAGGCTGAGGGGAGGATCGCTTGAGCCCAGGAGTTAGAGACCAGCCTGAGCAACATAGTGGGACCCATATCTACACACACAAAAATTAGCCTGATGTGGTGGCTCGAGCATCTGGGCTCAGCTACTTCGAAGTCTGAAACGAGTGGATCACTTGAACCTGGTGAGCTGAGATCGTGCCACTGCACCCCAAGAAAAGCCAGGGACCACTGTGGAAAGGGGATGAGGATGAGGGTCAAGCTTGCCCAGAGAACGGGATGCGACCTTTCAGGGGATGATCTAACCTTTTAACCAGGATAGGTGCAGGATGTGTTATTCAGACACAGGGGATTTAACTGAGGGTGTCTCTACTCTCATTTTCAGTCAATCCCATTCTGCTACTCAATGCAAAACAGTCCCTTGTGATACTGCCTTTTGAGGCACCTCCATATGGAGGAAGTTAACTAGTGGTTAAAAGTGGGGACTCTGAAGTCAGACAGACCTGATGTGAATCCTGCCTCCAACATCTACTACTACTAGCAGTGTGATTTTGAGTATGTTACTTAACCTTTCTAAACTGCAGTTTCCCTTTTTTTTTTTTTTTTTGAGACAGAGTTTCGCTCTTTTTACCCAGGCTGGAGTGCAATGGCGCGATCTCGGCTCACCGCAACCTCCGCCTCCTGGGTTCAAGCAATTCTCCTGAGTAGCTGGGACTACAGGCGTGCGCCACCATGCCCAGCTAATTTTTTGTATTTTTAGTAGAGACGGGGTTTCACCATGTTGACCAGGATGGTTTCGATCTCTTGACCTCGTGATCCACCCGCCTCGGCCTCCCAAAGCGCTGGGATTACAGGTGTGAGCCACTGCGCCCAGCCTGCAGTTTCCCTTTTTATAAAACTGGATACTTACAGGATTGTCTTTAGCATTAAATGAGATAATGAAAGGAGCTTGGCAGAGCACCTATACATTTCAGTGCCTAATGAATGTTAGTCACTTACATTTTAAATTCCTTAGACATTATTTTATTGGAGCCTCACAGCTACCTATTGAAGAAAAAATTATTGTCCTGGCCATTTTCAAGATGAGAAAACTGAAGTTCAGAGTAGAGAAGCACTGTTTTTGAGATCATACAGTGAAACAGTGGCAGAGCAGGCACTGGAACCCAGTCTTCCCTACTACCAACTGCTCCCACTTAAAGATACTGTTTTTCTAGACTGGAGCTCAACTTGGCCTTTTACTCTTTGGAGCCATTGGGAGTTCCAGGAGAGCTGTGGCTATGAGGATGCTTTTGCAAAGCGCCTGACTTCTCTGGTGCTTATCTTCAGGAAGGGAGGAGAATCCAGGAGTTGGTCTTTTTACCAGCTTCCTGCTATTTCCCAAGAAATGAGGAGAAGAGGGCAGAATCAGCCTGGTTTTGGCTGCTGAGGGTTCTTGGGGCAAAATAGGAAGCCATTGCTTTACTGGGACATGTATCATCCTGTGTTTGACTTTTCCAGATCGTCAATGTATGGTACTCTGTGAATGGTGAGAGGTTGGGCACCTACATGGGCCATACTGGAGCTGTGTGGTGTGTGGACGCTGACTGTATCCTTCTTTTGGGTCTGAATCCGTGCTGCCAGGGTCTGCCAGCAATGGAGAGGCTGAGTTGGAAGTTGGGAGTTGGGGGTGCTGTTGAGGGCCTACAGAATGATATCTCCTACTCCCTGGACTCTTCACTGGTTGAGGAAACATTCAGGACAAGTTCCAGTTCTGGATAAGGAGGTAAGGGGGGAAGAAGGGCTCTTTCGGGCTGAACAGGGAGATGAGAGGACAAGGGCTCAGGTGAACTTTGTCACGCTTCTTAACAACTCTTCAGGGGACACCAAGCATGTCCTCACTGGCTCAGCTGACAACAGCTGTCGTCTCTGGGACTGCGAAACAGGTAATCTGGGTTCATTCACTTTTTTAGCAAATATTGAGGACCTACAGTGTAAACAGGTCCTAGGAAAACAGATGAAATCTATAGATAGTTTTCAGTCTAGGGAATAAGAGACAAGATAATAAGAAAGATGAGAAAAGAAGCCTTACGGTAAGATATACGCCATGATGGAGGAAGCATAGATTACTATGGGAGGCCAGAGCCAGGCAACTGACTCCCTGGAGTGGGGATGGGAGCAGCCTGGGAAGTTTCCTAAGGTAAATCATATGAGCTGGGCTTAAAGGATGAGAAAAGATGTCATCACAGCTGGGCTTGGTAGCTCACACCTGTAATCCCAGCACTTTGGGAGGTGGAGGCGGGCAGATCACCTAAGGTCGGGAGTTCGAGACCAGCCTGACCAACATGGAGAAACCCCGTCTCTAGTAAAAATACAAAATTAAAAAAAAATGAGCCAGGTTCGGTGGCTCACGCCTATAATCCCAGCACTTTGGGAGGCTGAGGTGGGCGGATCACCAGGTCAGGAGTTCAAGACCAGCCTGGCCAACATGGTGAAACCCTGTCTCTACTAATAGAAAAATTAGCTGGGTGTGATGGGGCGCACCTGTAATCCCAGCTACTCAGGAGGCTGAGGCAGGAGAATCACTCAAACCCGGAAGGTGGAGGTTGCAGTGAGATGAGATCGTGCTACTTACACTGCACTCCAGCCTGGGCGACAGAGCAAGACTCCATCTTAAAAAAAAAAAAATTTTTTTTTAGGCTGACTCTGGGCATGCTGCCTATGAGTTAGCCCTGCTCTGCAAGAAGCTTTAAAAAAAAAAAAATTCTGGCCAGGCATGGTGGCTCACCCCTGTAATCCAAGCGCTTTGGAAACCAAGGCAGGCAGATCACCTGAGGTTGGGAGTTCAAGACCAGCCTGACCAACATGGTGAAACCCCATCTTTTTCTTTTTTTTTGAGACGGAGTTTTGCTCTCGTTACCCAGGCTGGAGTGCAGTGGAGTGATCTTGGCTCACCGCAACCTCCGCCTCCTGGGTTCAGGCAATTCTCCTGCCTCAGCCTCCCGAGTAGCTGGGACTACAGGCGTGCTCCACCATGCCCAGCTAATTTTTGTATTTTTAGTAGAGACGGGGTTTTACCATGTTGACCAGGATGGTCTTGATCTCTTGACCTCGTGATCCACCCGCCTCAGCCTCCCAAAGTGCTGGGATTATAGGCGTGAGCCACCGTGCCCAGCCGAAACCCCATCTTAAAAAAAAAGAAAAAAAAAATTCTGGAATAGCTGGACCAGACCATGTTCACTTCTCTTTAAAAACAATGAAAATATAAAAATAAGCTGGCACGGTGCCTCATGTCTGTAATCTTAGCACTTTGGTAGGCCGAGGTGGGCAGATCACCTGAACTCAGGAGTTCAAGACCAGCCTAACCAACATGGTAAAACCCCATCTCTACTAAAAAATAAATAAATAAAAATAAAAATAAAACTTAGCTGGGTGTGGTGGTGCATGCCTGTAATCGAAGCTACTCGAGAGGCTGAGGCAGGAGAATCATTTGAACCCGGGAGGTGGAGATTGCAGTGAGCTGGGATCGCACCATTGCACTCTAGCCAGGGCAACAAGAGCGAGACTCTCTCAAAAAAAAAGAAAAAATAGTAAAGATGTCATCACTTTGGCACATGCAGGAGTGAAAGTGTGGAGAGTGTCTGTACAAGTCATCTAATCTAGCTGGAATTCCTGCTTCTTGGTGGAGTGGGGGTAGGGGGGTGATATACATAGTCATGGAAAAGATGAGGCTGGAGAGTCAGGCTAAGGCCAGAACAGGTCTTGAATGCCAAATTCAGGAGTTTGGCTTTGTTCTGTAGAATGTGGCAGGCTGTGGAGGTCCCTGAGCAGGCAAGAGTGTAGGTCTGTTTAGTTTTAGCAAGGTCAGAGAGCAGTGGGAGGTACAGGAAGAGCCAAGACTGAAGACGGGAGCCTGTTAAGGTAGGTTTTTTTGTTTTTTTTTTTTTTTTGAGACGGAGTTTTGTTCTTATTGCCCAGACTGGAGTGCAATGGCGTGATCTTGCTCACTGCGACCTCCACCTCCTGGGATCAAGTGATTTTCCTGCCTCAGCCTCCCAAGTAGCTGGGATTACAGGCATGCACCACCACACCCAGCTAATTTTGTATTTTTATTTATTTATTTATTTTGTTTCTTTTTTTCTGTTATTTCTATCCAGATTCTTTTCAGAACTAATTTTGTATTTTTAGTAAGAGACATGGTTTCTCCATGTTGGTCAGGCTGGTCTTGAACTCCTGACCTCAAGTGATCCGCCCACCTCAGCCTCACAAAGTGGGGGATTACAGGCTTGAGCCACTGTGCCTGGCCTTTTTTTTTTTTTGAGACAGAGTTTTGCTCTGTCACCCAGGCTGGGGAACAATGGTGCTATCTCGACTCATTGCAACCTCTGCCTGTTGGGTTCAAGTGATACTCCTGCCTTAGCTTTCTGAATAGATGGGATTAAAGGCACATGGTGCCACGCCCAGCTAATTCTAATTTTTTTTGTTTCTTTTTTTTGAGACAGAATCTCTCACTCTGTCACCCACGATGGAGTGCAATGGCACAATCTTGGCTTACTGCAACCTCGGGCTCCTGAGTTCAAGCGATTCTCCTGCCTTAGCCTCCCGATAGCTGGGATTACAGACTTGTGACACCATACCTGGCTAATTTTTGTATTTTTAGTAGAGATGGGGTTTCACCATATTAGCCAGGCTGGTCTTGAACTCCCCACCTCAGG